GAACTCTAAGTTTCAGTTTTACTTTAGTGGCAGCAGTTCCATCTGAACCAGAAAGGTTAACATAAACTCCTGGAACGTTAGGGTCAAGTCTTCTTATTTTCTCAATAGTTGCATACTGGTCTGTTTGTTCTCTAGCTTGTGATAAGTATAATAATCGATGGTATTTTTAAGTTCTTCTTCAGCTCTAGCTAATTGGGCTTGCAATGACATATATTTTTCGACTTTTTCACCTTCACAAATTGAATCGGTTGAGCGATTTTTAAATTCTGCAATCATATCAGTAATTACCTTAGCAGAATGATATTTGCCACTTGCAATTGCATCTTTTTTCTCTTTCTTCAAAATTGGGATAATTTGAGATATTAAATTTGGATCAGTAAGTTCTGCAAATTGACCTTCTAATAGCTTTCTTACGTAGTTTGAGTTATCTGGTGATTTTTTTCTAGAATTCGAAGAAATTGATGAAAATGAACTGTTAGAAATTTTCCTAGATGGCTTTTTATTTGTCTTGCGTTTCAAATCGATACATGCTTGATCTAATTGCTTTGTAACTTCTTGTATTTTCTTGACAATGTCAGCACGACCAAGTTTGATTGCATTTTGTTTTTCTCTCAACAATGGTTCATGCAAAAATGGCAAACATTTCGGAGGAACTCTAGATATATGCATTCCCATAATTAAATTCTGAACTATTTCATCTAAATATTCTGAATTCGCTGAAGAGTGCATAAAATATCAAAGACGTTAATACATCACTTTTTAGTTTGTATTTTTTGCTTCAAAATCATCATAAAATAATGATCATAATTAAAAATTAAATTGATATGTATCTATTAAAATATCCTAAAAATCGATATTTCACAAAATAGCAATGATCTAATGAGTAAATACTTGACGGATTTTCAATGAGTCGCCTCAAAAATTGAATTGCATTCAATTTAAAAGAGGCTAAAAATTGAAAATTCTTCAAGTATTCCCATCATATGTCGGAAATTGAGACTTCGTCTCAATTTCCGACATATGATGGGAATATATAAACACATTTTTCTACGTAAAGTCTCCCTATCGTTTTTTGCTTCAATATTGAGCGAGTCTCTTTCAAAAATTTGAATAAGAGACTTTACGAAGAAAAATTCATTTTGTCGCATAGCTGTTGGTTGGGGTGCAGCTCTTTTAGTATTCGAATTCGATATTAGGGAGTTGTGACAATGTTACTTTACTCAAATTTTCGATGACCTGATAGTACTTGTTCATCTATGAAAACAGCAATTAATGTTTAATGATGAAGTTTAGTATCAATTTGCCATAAATGCTTAGTAAATTTGGAAAAAAAAGTGCTTTGGCGTCGCGTCGCGATGTAAATTGTTCAATTTTGGCCTTGCGACGCCATAAACCTTTGAAAAAATGGTGTAAACCTCTCAAAATTGAATAGTTTACATCGCGACGCCAAAACATAAGCGACCCATAAATTTAAAACTCAAATTATATATCTCAATAAAATTTTGGAAAAATCTCATGGGATCAGTAGATCATTGAAATAACAAAAAAAAAGTTGCACAAAAGAAGTTTCCGTGAACAAGTCTTTTTTTTCATATAGAAAATTTGACTCACATAACTTTACAAATCTGACATTTTGTAAATTATCAAGGCTATTAAAAATTTGATTGCAGTAGAAAATGGCGCTAGACCAAATCAACACAGAGTATCAGTTTTTAGAAATTTTAGAGAGGCAAAAGTTATCTAAATATATTTTTTTGTTTATTGGTGAATTAACGGAAGGGATCGCCAAAAATTCTAAATATTCCCTTATCCAATTTTGTAAAATTTTTAAGAGTAGGGGTAATTTTAGCTAAAAGTGACACACCCGTGAAGGGTGTGATTACCGATCGGTAATTTCGACAGTTTAGAATTTAAAATTTTTTATGGAACTGTTGCGAGTTTCATAAAGAATTTAAGGAATATAAGCAAAGATTTGAATCAAAATCTTAGACCTAAGCCGCTCGATTCGCTCGCGGCTTCCGCGAATTACAGATCAGCAAAGATTTGAATCAAAATCTTCGAACTAAGCCGATCGCTTCGCTCGCGGCTTTAAAAAAAAAAAAAAAAAAAAAAAAAAAAAAAAAGGAAGTGGGGCTTCCAGGCACTTCGTGCCTTCTAGCCCTGAGGATGTTTGGTATAATGAAGTTTTTTTTTCTTGGGATGGCCTTCCGGGCGCGTTGCGCCCTCTAGCCCATAAGAAATTTTTCCCAAGACCCAAGAGGAGGACCGAACCCCAAGCCGACCAGCCGGTGACACTTTTTTGTGTCGCTTTTCACAAATTATATATGTTTTCATGTTTTGTCAAACATGAACGTACATGTTTTTGTCAAGACTTCTTCGTAATGAGTGTAAATGACCAAAAATATAATTTAGGGTAGAAGGTTAGATCTAACCTCTTTTCTAACCTCTTTTCTACCCTCTTGAATTTTCATGACTTCTTCGTAAATGTTTTGTCAAACATGAACGTAAATGTTTTGTCAAGACTTCTTCGTAATGAGTGTAAATGACCAAAAATATAATTTAGGGTAGAAGGTTAGATCTAACCTCTTTTCTAACCTCTTTTCTACCCTCTTGAATTTTCATGATTTCTTCGTCATAGGCACGGAGATAGGACGGTTATTTTACAAAACTGACAACACTTTGACCGAGTAGTTTTTTGTGCTGAACAAAAAGTGTCATATAAACATCTGTCAAAAGCCGCTTTTTAACTTCACTTAAAATGCCACGTAAGCTACGTAAGAATATACGTAAGAGGAAGGGAGCATTGAAACATCCAAAAGTAAAACTGACACCACAACAACAGTTGCAACAACAAATGCTGAATGACCCCACTATGTTGCAACAAATGTCAAGCAATCCTATGCTCTTAAACCGAGTTATTGGTGCACAGAGTGGAGGTTTAAGAGCGGCACTTTTAGCGAAAATGGCAGGCTATGGTGGAGCTGCAGACGGAACAGCCTATAACCCTCAAAGTCAAATGAATTTGAGTTCACTCAAAAATCAAATAACAGATGTCAAAAAGTCAAACATAGACATACAGAAACAAATAAGTGAAAACGAAAAGAAACTAGAATATGACAGACACACAAAGAAACTCAATGAGTTAAACGTAGAGAAAAAGAAGAAAGAAGAACAACTGAAAGAACTAAGTACAGAGGAATATGCGAAAAAAGTGTCAGAAAAAGCAGCAGAAGTAGCAAAAATGGAACAAGATGTTATAAATTTGAAAAACCATACTACTCAATATAAAGTACTGAAAGATGAAGAAATAAAACAAAAAGCCCTGAAGACATATATGGATAGCGATGAGTATAAAAAAGAAGTTGAAGCAAATGTAAAGGCAGAAAAACTTTTACAGTTGCAAAACCAAACCGTACAGTATGAAAACTTAGCACAAGAAAGTAAAAATAACGACGCAGCCATGCAAAAGGCAATGAAAAGCGCAGAATATATAAAAGCTAATAATGACTGGTTAGATGCCCAAGCCAACGCTAAAGCAGCCCAACTTATAGGGTCAATAAGGACAAAAATACAAGCGGATGAAGACAGTTCAAATGAAGCTTTAATGAATGCTGACTTTAAGAACGCCTTCGAAGCTCTTCATAGTAAGGTGAAACTAGTGAACGACTTCTCATCTGAAAAGAAACTGAAGTCTGAAGGTTCGACAAAGAGTTAAAAGAAGTAGCACAAAATATGACGAAAATAACAGATGCAGCAACGAGACAGGCAGTTCAAAGTGCCTATGACGCCGTTAGAGCAACTGTTGTGGAAAGTCAAGAAAAAGAGTTACAACACACCAAAACAGACCTAGTAAATGCTTTCTTAAGAACGAAAAGTCAGGTAGGACATTATGCTGCAGATGGAACATATGTGCCAGCTGGTGGAACTTATATACCACCAAACCCTCCAAGAGAAGCACCTGCACCAGGACTACCTAAAACATTTACATCGTCACATGGACACAGACACAGGCATGCACCAAAACCAACACAACAACCAACACAACAACCAACACAACAACCAACAGTTCAAAACACTGCACCACAACCAACAGTTCAAAACACTGCACAGCAACAACCACAAACAGAGCAAGGACATAAAAGAAGTAGAGAACAAGGAAACCAAGAATTCTTAAAAATGCTTAAGGAAAATTATGGTTACCCAGATACTCTTGACTTTAGTGACAGATAATAAGAAGCTATTAGAAAGTTCAAGGAAGGAAATACTGACCGAACCTATTTAGCTTTATGGTTCAGCACCAAATGGGATATAATTTCAAACCTGGAAAATACAAGCTCGCTAAGGGATATGATTTAATAGCATATCATCCAAATGACATGACTGAATTTACTCAAGATATTTGGTGTCAGAGCTAAACGATAATTCAACTCTCTTCATGAAACGCGTAAAAAATAGAGACGGAACGAAAGAGAAAGGTTTATGAGTCCGGATGACTTAGATAGGGAACTTTTTAAAAACGGTCTCGGAATATATGAAATGCCAGCAGATGAGGTACAAGAAACTCCACAGGAAGAAGTTCAGATACAACAAGACATGGAAGAAATAGTTCAGCAACAACAGCTAGAAGAGCCTGAAGGAAACAAACAAGTCCCTCCTTTGGAAACTAACTTCACAGAACTAGATGAAGATTTGGAACAGCCGAAAAATCTTGACCCTCAACAAGTGTATGCGGGGAATATGGAATCTTTCCAAGAGTCTAAGAAAAATTCGGCTGACATAGTAGAAGAATATCGAAAAATGTTCGCCGACATACAAAAGACTCCAACATCAGATGAAAATATCCAGCATAGAATGGAAGAACTGAAAGAAAGTGTACACAAATACAACAATCCTTTTTACTTACGAGCATATAACGTTCAATCTTTGGATGAACTCGGTGAAAATAAAAGGTTAAATTTCAACAAAACATATAGAAATAAACATTGTTTAAAGTTCATTCAGAACCTAGCCAAGATGGAAACAAACCTACTTTTGTTTCTGCAGACGATGGAACTACAATGAGATGGGGTCATAAAGCTAACCCGGATAGGTGTTCATAAACTTACAACCACAATTCCAAGAAGTTGTAGACGCAATGGAAGTCAATGGTGAACCAGATATAGCTGGTATTTTCAGCGCGGCTTTAATGCCATTGAAAGATATGAAAGATGCAGATATTTTGGACCAGTATGAAATGAACATGGCTGATGGAAATATAACACCTGACGTTCTAAAACATTTATCTCAAAGAACTACACAGAACCATAGAGATGGTATATTTGGTGAAGAGTTTAGAAAGAAAGTTATGGACAGCGAAGGAAGAGAACCTATTGTACATGACCTTGCAAACGAAAGTTTACAAAATGTCATAAAAACTTACTTTGCAGACAATGAACCGAGAAGGGATGAATATTTAAGAAAACTCAAATGGACAGTACCAAATGAAATGTTAGTATTGAAAAACATGTTCCTTGACAAAATAAAACCAACTACAGAAATAAACGACGCAAGACTGAAAGATTGGGTAAAAGCTTTCCCATTCACAAAAGATATAGTTGGTAACATGGAAAGAAAACCAGAATGGCTACAAAAACATATATTTGGAAACGAGCATATTCCATATGGACAGGCACTGTTTGAAGAGCTTGAACCGGAAACTCAGGAAAGAGTCATGCAAACAATACGCGAAGACTCAAATACAGACTATGACAAACTCTTTCTAGGATATAGGTTACCTGAGATGGGCGACCAGAGCCAAAAGGCAAAAAGGACATGGGAAATTTGCAACATACTAGATGAACATAATGCAAAGATGCAACAACTTCAAGCAGAGGGCAATGAAGGAAAAAGAAGAGTTAAAAACTCAGTCAGGAAGAAAGTAAAGCTTGGTCCACGTGGGTTTCTATTAGACAAATAAATCCAACTATTCTATATTTTTACCCATATGAAATGTACGCCGCTCAGAATATAACGCCAACAGTTTTGGATGCCATGAACGGAAATGTTTCTGAATGGTATAACGAATGCGACAATGCCATTAGAAGGTCAGAAATAGTTCCTGGAACTTACGAATATACAACTGCTGTTTCTTATGGAAACGTAGGTGAGTTTGGAGAAGGTTCTTCAACAACAGTAGATATTGCTTGCGACAGGTTTCATATAATTTCTATTGACAACTCTTTCTTATACGTGGAACAAGACATTGAAATAAAACCTTCTGCCAAGTTGTCTGACAAAGAAGGTTGCAATGGAATTTTCTATGTCGGATACCAATATGCTCCAGAAGTTTTCATGGGATATAAGATATATTCTAACTCTGACTTAGTTCAAACAGTAACATGGGCAAACTATGAATGGTTCGCTTTGAGAAACTCAGTACAACCACAAGCTAGAGAACAAACAGACCAGTATGCAACTATTGAGAAAATAAGAAGACTTGACCCTAACGTTCCAGGAGTTTATGTTAACCTTTCTGGTTCAGATGGAACTGCTGCCACTAAAGTAAAACTGAAACTTAGAGTTCCTTTGTCATCTTTCCTCATCTTCAGGTTTTTAAGATACTTGCCAACTGGGCAGGAAAAATTTCTATCGAACTTACTCCAAGCAAAAATAACTTAGTCATTGCACCAACACAAGACCCATTCAGCATTACTATAGCTGGAACTGGTGGAGCCAAGTTCTGTGACTTTTGCAAAGACAAAGTTGACTTAGACTTTGGTTTCTCAAACTTCAACAATGAAGTAAACTATTATTTCAAATGCTGCTGGAACTGCTTGGGACCCAGTTAAGTTTACATGCGAAAAGTTTGAATGCAAGAGAATAGAAAGCAGACTTGCAGTCTATATGTTGGACCCAGATATTTCAAATGCTTTAGCTGCCAAATATATTGCAGTTCCACTTATGTTCCCTATACACCAAATATCTGTCAAAGACTTTGCAGGTGAAGTTGGAAACCAAAGTGCTGACCCAGGTGCAAGAACAGATATTGCTTTAACAACTGCGATGAAACATGCAGATACTATGTTGTTACTGTTCAAGACGAACTATAAATGACTATTCTGTTTCTACAACCCCGGTATTAAATATCATATAAACATAGATGGCAAATATTATCCAAGAGAAGAATATTCCACAGTTGAAGATATGAGGTCATACAACTTGACATTAGATGCTATGAACTTTAACAACAACTTCACAACAACCATTAACCCTGAAATGCAAAGTTCTATTATGCCATATGTGAAAGTATGGACCCATACAGGAGCTCAAAAAACTCAATATACAAATGGAGACCGTTCAAACTTTTGGCTTGGCATTCCATTTGCTGACTCAGAAGACTTTATGGGTGGTATTTCAACTGTTGGTACTGTACAAATACAATATACTGGTGACAGAGACGGTCCAGATGAATGAAAGCAAAGAAGTTTACAAAACCAATAGCACTTTTCACGGAAGATGCTCTTTTGAAGATTCGTTCGATGAAACCTGCTGGGGCTCCTCAGATTGGCATAACGACAGCTTCCATTGAGCAGATTTTGGCAGCAGGTCAGTAAGTTGTTCTTGAACTGACTTCTCTCATCGTAAATAGTTATGACACCAGTTTTGACATAAAATTGTATTATAAACTTACCTTTAGAAATATCTGTAAGTTTTGTTGTTATATTTTTGTCAACGTCAAGAACTTTCACCATTTCAGTTATACAACTTTCTTTGCTTTATGAAAATATTTTGGTTCAGCAAAGACTGCTATTCTATAACATTTACCATTGTTTGTATAAAGAACTATTCTGTCAATGTATTTGTATTGTTTGTGTGTGTAAACTTTGTTCTGCTTCAATTCGAAGAGATACTCGAATACGTCCATCTTTTTATTCTAAGTAAAATGTCATTTCCGAAAAATAGAAGCGTAAGTGTTTCAAAAGGTTTAATGGCGGTGGCAGATGTGAAGTTAAATTCACCAACTCAAACAAACAGTCAAAGTGTTGTTGTCAATGTCAAAGAAAGAGATGTTGAAGTGGGGAAACCATACGAAGACGAATGGTATAACAAATAGTTCCTGTAAAAGAACCAACATACCCTGAAGTTAGCAGAGACTTAAGTTCTGTTGCAGATATTCGAAACGACTACCAACAACTTAAAGACAAACTTAAAACTCAGGAGAAGATTTGTCAAGCTTTAAGTATAATGTTAAACTTGGTCGAACACAACCCTGTAAAAGTGAACTCATATGTCATTGCACCTCATGAAGTTTTGAAAGAACTATTGAAACTTTTGACAGAGGCAGACGATATAAACATCAAAGAAATAGAACCCGACATTAGTTGCTGTGGTGTTTCATATAATGCCATTGACAAGATATACGTTATGAAAGGAGGTGAAACGTTGAATTTAAAATATAGTTTCCCAGACGTCATAAAAATATTTGACGACCACAACATTTCATTAAAATTTAGTTGCTAAGTAAATGGCAGAAGACATAGTGGTTTATACTATTACGACTAAAAACCCTGAGTATATAATTCTATAACAACAAACTTACAAAGTCCTCAAGGACGATATTGTAAACTGACTTAAACACGATGACGACTAAAGCCTGTTTTGCTCTTTTGACACCAGAAGATTTTATTGTTGTGAATGGTAAAAGCTATAAGCAAATGATGAAATTAAAACATATGAATGCTATTCAAAAAATGGAAAACCTTCATGATGAACAAATTATTGATTTTGAAAAGACATGGCCATCAGAACTTCCACCAAGTCATCGAAAACTTAGCAAGCAAACCCTCGATATGAGAACAAAAGAAAATAAATGTTTATCTGCCGAAATGTTTGACGAAGCTGAGCAGTGTAGAGATATTGCCGATTGGCTCGAGTTCAATGACTTAAACGAACAAAAACTCAGATACGAACTCGATTTTAATCGTGAATTGCTCCGACTGAAACAAGCACAAGAGAAAGAACTAAATTATATTAAGTTTAGATATGAAAATAAATATGCTGAACTTAAAGCAGAAGAAGAACGCGAAGTTGCAAAGATGGAACTGATTGTTAGAAATCTCAGAAGAAAGATTAAACCTGAAGATGAAGCATTGCTTATACATGATAAAAAGTTTTCAATGGGATTGTCTGATTCATCAGAAACAAGATCCAAAAATATATCTGCTTCAAAAATTGTTTATAAGAATATTAAGCCTTACTAAAATTGTTTGTATTCATAAATTTAGATTTTTTTTTTTCTTCGATTTAACGTAACATTCTATAAGCGTTATTATCATATGCCATGAAACTCTTTTCCTAAGAATCCAGATTTTGTTTTAAATTCAATATTAATTTTAAAAATATTTAAAGTAGGCATCTTAAATAAGTTGGGTTTGCATATAATTCTCATGGAACCCATGTTAACATATTTTTGATCAGTCCTACCAAGAATGTGAGGTTCTAAACATCGAAACAAGCAGTCAAAAAAATTCAAAAATTCAAAAAAAAAAATTATATGAATACAATTGATGCATCACGGATTCAACAGAAAATTAAAGATCTTCAAATATTAATTGAAGATATTCCAACAGATGATCCTTCTAATGATGCTAGTCGTCTTCTTGATTTCTTATCAAGGAATGGTGGTTTCCAAGTTGCTTTTAATAAGCTCAAGCAATTAGACTTAGCTAATGTATCTACAGATAAACACATTGAACTTTTATCAGGATTCTTACTCAGTGCAAATAATATTACACAAGTTAACGAAATTCATGATATATTCATGAAATACCTAAGCGAAAAAGATTTATTCGTAAATATGATGGATAATTCAATCTATACAAATCAACTTTTGCAAGATTTTATGAAATCATCTGAAAAACTCGATTTAATGCTAGAATGCATACAAAATTTGGAATCACTTAACCAACGTCAAAGATATATTCGTCAAATTGCTTTTCGTTTTGCTTCATTAAGACATGAAACGCAAAAATGCCTTAAAATTCTTTACTCTGTTTACCCAGCTCGTTCACATGATGATTTTCTCGAATTTTCTGCATATGCAACCTCAATTACATCACTTATTTCTCAAGATCAAAACTTTGTTCGTGAATTATTTGAATACGTCATGAATTTAGCAGCAATACTTTCTGGATTCATGCGTGATTGGCTTATAAACTTCGCATCATCCTTTGCACCGCTATTAAAACTCAAATCAGTTCATCCTGCGATTTTAGATTTTGTCAAATTACAAAAGATGCCACTTTCTACAATCCATCACTTCGAATCATCTACAGGAGGCTTATACAACAAAGAATTAAGCCTTTCGGAAGCTCCTTCCCTTTCCAGACCTTATTCATTGTACAAAGAGTGGTTTGTTGACATCAAAAACCTGAATGAGGCCAAATCCCCAGAAAGAGTTTACAATACAATACTCCATTTCTGCCAAACCAATCCATATGACGCTCCAAAAATATTATCTCAGCTTCCTCCTGTTGTTTCTCTACCGTTTTACACCCTGATAGTTGACAAACAACCAGAAGCATTCCGTAATGCTGTAGAAAAGGCTTTTTCATCAGGAAATATCGATATTGCATTAAATGTTCTTGAAAATGTTGCTAGAGTTAATCCAAGACTCATCAAACCACACTTTTCTTCAATATCTAAGCTCGGATTCTCAAGATGCCATACATTAGTTTCATTATTAATAAGAGCAGATATTATTGAGTTCAAAAAACTCTTTATTCACATTCATCAAGCCGAGGAAGAAAAGATAAGAGATATTATACGCGAAGGTATCCTCCAAATGCAAAAACGTCCTAAGACAAGAGAAAATATCTCGTTTGTTCTTCAAGTTTTCACTAATTTCTACTCTGGAGCATCCGGACAGATAAACTGGGCTGCTGTTGCCGATGCATATCCAGGAGATATGGACATCGCTCAGTGCATGCTCTTAACTCAGGAAGATCAAACCGAAAAAAGTGACACGAGGAACTTCACCGCTCCTCTTCTTCAGTGGCGACAGTCATTTCTTAATTTTATCAGGAGATGTCCATCAACAATGCGTCCCTTATCAGCAATACCATATCTCCTTGTTGCTTCTACACTACCAGAGCATGATGAGCTGGAGATTCACAGTTTTTCATCGCTTTTACCACAATCACGCAGTAATGCTGAAGAAATCATTGAACAAATTGCTATATTCGAGTTAACAAGGTCAGTAATTAAAGGAAATCACTCACAACTGGATGCACTGGCGAAATTAAAAATAATGTTCGACTTCGATGACAAGAAAGTTACTTCCTATTCATCAGTATTTGCTCATTGTGCAGTCTGTATCGAGATTGGAGCTCACGATTCCTTAGATTCAATAGTTTCCGCAATGAATTCCACTTCTTCGGTCATTAAAAAAGCCGCAAGCAGAGCAATTACAATTCTCAACACATTCCAGTTCGAACCAGCTAAACAATACGCTAAAAATGATGAAGATACAAATCTGACTGTCAAATTTTTGTCACTTTTGTCAACAATCGGTTCCACATCCAATTATGTTCCACAAGATTCAGACAGCAAGAAATACTTAGAAATGATCAAAACAATTAACGGTTTTGTCAATGACGATTTGACAAAAAATTGCCAACAAAAAATTTTTGCCGATGTAAACATGATTTGTGACAATTTCATGTTACTTAGTTTATCATCATATATTTTGCTTCCTTCCAGGCAAGTATCGAAGATCTCATCCGATAAAATCATTTCCATGCTTGTTTCAAATTCATCGGAACACAAACAGAGGGAATTCGCTCTCCTCGCGATCTCTCAGATGCCGACGGCTCCGGAGTTCGATTATTTCGCTCTTTTCGACAAATATCCGGAACTGTCAAAAAGTGTCATGTCCGTTGCAGTTAGAAACAACAATAATCTTCTGATAAACCACATACTCCAGAAATCAGACGATTATTCGACCATTTTTGCTGTCAAACCGCTCATCACTTACATAGACCAAGATTTAGTTTTGGAGTTCATTAAAAGAAATGCTCCAAAAAGTGACATACAAACATTATTGTTATCGTCCGATGTTTACTCAAATCCAAAACATATAATTGAAGTATGCGGCCAAATAAGGAAAAGTGACATAACCGATTATGTAAACACGACATATGGTGAACGATTAAAGAACAGTTTGATGCGGTTGAAGAACGAAGAAATCGAGCAATACATTTACTCTGATTTCGATGATTTCGCGTTGATCGTAAGTCATTTAATGAATCTCTCAATTTCAAACATTTGTTGGAAGATCGTTAGTTCTGAAAAAGTGACATTTAAATGTATTGTCAATTTTGCATTCAGTCGGAAGAAGCAGTTATTTACTATTATAGAAGGATTGTTTGCTATATTGAACAAAGCGACTGTTTCACAAGTTGGCAAATGCATTTGTTATTTGTCTGTTTTCTTGTTGGTGAGAGAGAACAATCAGCCTTTCAGAGCAATTAAGGAGACTTTGGATTCAAACAGAGATATCTTTGATGAGAAATCAATTGTTCTCCTTCTCCCTGCTTTGATTGCAAATTGTTCAGATATAAGAATTGAACATACATCTGTTTTCCAGAGAATAACAACTGAAAAGTATACTAATGTAATTGACGAAATAATCAATGCAAGTAAATTAAGTAAATAAAGATTTATATACACTTTAATTTATTAAAAACGATACAACACAATTTTTTTGACATTCTCTCAATTTTTTTGACATTCTCTCAATTTTTTTGACAGGAATATTTTTTTGGGAAAAGGCTATTTTAAATCACTATCGTGTACCTTATATTAATGTTATTCTTTTTTAGCAATTACATTAAAGATATATTGATATTACGGGAGCATGTCAGAAAGTGGTGAGTGAACCCTTAATAAGTGTCATATATAATTGAGATACTATCCATCCGGCTGTGTTTCAAATACCTGACAAAGGACGTGAAGCAACATTGAAGACTAAGTCATACAGATGTAGGTATATCAGAAAATTAAAGTTGAATCAATGCTGCAAGTCAGGATTCTCTTAAACTCTCGTAATAGCATTCCAATTCTGAGAATTCCAAAAATATTTCGCTTAAAAAGTGCTTTCTATCGTTCTCCCGCCCCTGAAATTTACTAAAAGATTTCATTTCGTTAGAAACCAATAATTTAGATTAAATTCAATTCATGAATTTCAAACTTGTTTTTAACTCAAAACTTTGATGAGCTTTCTAAAACTAATTCCCGCTTACACTATGGCGGATTGTTTCATGATAGTTCTTATAAGTTTTCTTTCTTTTGGTGTTAGATCGTATATGCTAGGCTATCCAAATGTTATAATTTTCGATGAAGTATATTTCGGTAATTTTTCTAATGCATATCTCACAGAACATTTTTACAGTGACATTCATCCACCATTTGGCAAGCTTTTAATGGCAGGAATTGCCTATTTAACTCAATATCCAGGAAATATCAACTGGGGATACAAAGATATACAAGGATATGATGATAATGAAACAAATTATATTAATCTTCGACTTACGCCTAGCGTATTTTCGTCATTCTGTTCAGTTTTAATTTATTGTTCAATGAGAAATTTAGGATTTTCGATTTCAACAGCAACAGCAGCTTCCTTCCTTACTCTTTTTGATATAACATCTATTGTTGAAGGTAGGTTCATTCTATCTGATGGAATGCTTCATTTCTTCAGCTGTCTTCATATTTTCGCTTTTACATTGTTCTTAAGGAAAACAAGCTTTCTACGAACTCTATTCGCCGGAATTACACTTGGATTTGCATTTTCATGCAAGCTTACTGCTGGTGGTTTAATTCTTTTGGATGGATTATCACAATTCATTTGGCTCTTGAAGAAACGACGTCCAATTGCGAAGATTATTGCCAGAGCATCATTGCTATTAGTCCCATGCTTCTCAATTCACTTAATTTGCTGGATAATCCACTTTGATATCTTAAAATTCAAAGATAACACTGGTGGAGCATATTCGGAAGAAGGATTTTCGCAATATCTATACAATCCCGATATAATGAATATTACATACAAAGGCTGGAGACTTCAAAACCGAAATCACTTAAAAACAATATTTGAAGACTTAGTAAGGACACACCATGCTAACATGAGAATTACAAACCCTCATCCGTGGTCATCCATGCCAATAAATTGGCCTTTTTTACTTGATAAATATGTTATGTTTTATTCAGACGTAGATTACAAATCTATTCGTTGTCATGGATCACCAATGACATACTGGTCCTCATCAGTATTTCTAATTCTCACTCCTTTGCTCTTATTTACCAGAAAACTCGATTGGAGAATTATTATTACATTTTTCGGTTGGGCTTTTTCATATTTACCATTTATTATGGTTCCTCGTGCCATGTACCTATATCATTACATTGTTCCGATGTTTTTCGCTTCAATGAATTTGGCAGCAGTTTCTGAATGCGTTTTGAAGAATTGGCCGAAGATTTCTCTTATATTTAACATTGTTATTTGTGTCCTTTCCGTTACATGCACGATGTACTTTGCTCCATGGGTTTATGGCTATCGGTGCATGGATTGTGATGAAAAACTCGGTTGGATAAGAAGATGGGAGTTCGGACCACCTGATAAAGTTAATTTCTTTGGAATTGATTCAATCAATACAACTCTCATCACCGGATCTTTTGTATAAATGTTATTTTTATAGTTCTTTTAATCATAATCTTTTTATATTTATCATTTATTATATTAAGAATCTTAAGGCTTGATTTAATATAACAGGATATCATTAAATGAAATTTATTATTCAACAATATGCTGACACATAGTCAGAATGGAGCAATATGCACTATATTATAGCATATGATGCCTTATTAATGAAATTTAATCTTTCACATTTTGGAGGAAGCTTATACAGATGAGGCGAATTGGCATAATATTTTGCAGATTCCAGATTCAAAAATTTAATGTTTTCAGAAGATCCCCTTACTATTTGATCAAATTTCTCGAAAAGTACTCATTGAGCATAAGATATAATAATCTATTTAGTAGTTTTAGTTATATATGTATATGAATTTTAACGAAATAAGAAGTACAGAAAAAAACATCAAAGAAATGAATGAAATTACATTAAAAGTCACTTTTTTACACCCGCTTTGTATCGGCCAAAAATTGAATGTAAAAAATTTATCATTTAATTGAATATTAATAACCATAAGTCAGAGTATAACTTTTATTGAATCACATGTATTCAAATTTTCAAATAACGGTCATATCACATAAAATGGCCGAAAGTAAAGCTGCAGCAGCAAGCAACTACCTTCAGCAAACAAAGATTACTGATGGTCTTCAGGAAGATCTCACAAAGATCCTCAATGAGCGCCCAGAAGATCCATTTGGTGCCCTCTCCAAACTCTTAAAGAAGAGAGCTCTTCCACCAGTTATCGATCATGTCAAGGGTCGTGAAGTTTTAGACTCTCGTGGAAATCCAACAGTCGAAGTTGATGTTTACGCTAAATATCTCGGCGATGTTATCTTCGCAGGCCGCTCATCATCTCCATCTGGTGCCTCAACAGGTTCCGGCGAAGCTATGGAACTTCGTGATGGCGATAACCGCTACAACGGCAAGGGCACAAAGAAGGCTGTCGCTAATGTTGATACAGCTATTTCCGAAGCTCTTAAGGGCAAGCCATTCGACTCCCTTCAGGAACTCGATAATGCTCTTATCGAAGCTGATGGCACAGAGCTCAAGACAAAGCTCGGCGGAAACGCTACAACAGCTACATCTTTCGCTCTCGCTGAAGCTGCAGCCAATCTCGAGGAGACACAGCTCTTCCTTTACCTCGCAAGGCAATACTACGGAGGCCAGATCCCAGAAGGCAAGAAGTTCCACATGCCAGCTCCATTCTTCAATATCCTCAACGGTGGCAAGCACGCAGGTGGCAACCTCAAGCTCCAGGAGTTCATGATCAATCCTAACCCAGCCAAGTACCAATTCCCAGATCAGCTTCGTGTTGCCGCTGAAGTTTATCAGAAACTTGGCCAAATCCTTTCCAAGGTCGACATTTCATACAAGAACCTTGGTGATGAGGGTGGCTACGCTCCAAAGCTCGAGTCTCCAGATGAAGCTCTTAATTACATCGAAACAGCCATCAAAGAAGCCGGCTACCAGCCAGTTGAAGATGTCAGAATCGCTCTCGATGCAGCCTCCTCCGAATTCTACAATACAAACCAGGAACATCCAAACATGTACGAAGTTGAAGTCGGAAACTTCAAGACAGGCGAAGAGATGATCCAGTACTGGAAGGATCTCGTCGAAAAGCACCCAGCCATCATCTCTATCGAAGATGGCCTCGATGAAAAGGACTACGAAACATGGGCTAAGCTCAATGAGGCTCTTGGTGACAAGATCCACCTCGTTGGTGATGACCTTTACACAACTAACCCGAAGACAATCGCTAAGGGTCTTGAAGGAAAGTGGTGCAACGCTCTCCTCCTCAAGGTCAACCAGATCGGTACAATTTCTGAGGGTATGCAGGCTGCTCGCCTCATCCTTGAGAAGGACCAGTGGGTTATGGTCTCTCACCGCTCCGGAGAAACAGCTAACTCCGTAATCGCTGATCTCGCTGTCGGTATCGGAGCTCAGGCCATCAAGACTGGCTCTTGCGCTCGTGGCGAACGTATCCAGAAGTACACAAGACTCCTCCAGATCTACGAATACCTTCAGGAACACAACCTCCTCGAGTAAAAACTTTTTTTTCGATTTTCTATATTAACCAGAATTGTATTACTAACAAATGTTTTTTCAATCAATGAGATTAATATTTTATATAAATTTTCAAAATATGTAATTTGATACTTGAAATATGAATTATTGGCCTATAAATGAGTTTTCAAGGATCATATGCTCTTTGGAATATTAGATTCTCTACGAAAATAACTCTTACGCATTTTTTTCTTAGAATACACTGTTATAATATTTAAGTTTACAAGCAATCCATGGAAATTTAATAGTAATAATCAGTTGAAAACATTATATTCTTCTTTCTCAAAAGAAATCAGAGTATGATGGCTTTATTTACCATAAACATTCATATCCATCACCAGTATTCTATTTACTTTATCTGTTTAAGGCAATGTTCTATATATATATTTTGATTTAAAAATGATTAGTAAATTATCAATACAATACAAAAACATTTTAAATAACAAACATAAATTAGCAGCAGCAATAAAGGCCGCAATATTTTGCACAGCATCCATCGTCTTCTTCGTCTCCTTGTCTTCCATCGATGATCTGCTTTGCCATCTTCTTTCCAGACCTTGCACTAATTCTGCAAAGGAATATATTCGCAATGATACCAATGATTGCAATAATAAGGAACAAAATAAGTAATCCCAAACCAAGTTTTGGCCATGTGATACAAGGCGTTCTTGATGGATATGGAGTAAATGATGGAGAAGGAGCAGTTCTCTCTGGTGTATAAGCTGGTGTTGCCGGAAATGTTGGAGTAATCTCTGGAGTTGGTGCAAATGTGGCTGTAACAGTTGGCCAAAACGTTGCAGTAATAGTTGGCCAAAATGTCGCGGTTCTCGTCGGCCAAAACGTAGCAGAAATAGTAGGAGGCTTCGAGGCAGTTGGGGAAACTGTATATTGTGGAGTAACTCCTGGTGTAAGAGATAATGTGGCAGCGAAAGTTGCAGTAACTGTAGGATGAAAGGTGGCAGAGATGGTTGGAGACAGTGTAGGGAATAAGGAACGAGATGCTGTTGGAGTAAACGTAGCTGTAGCTGGTCGCCAGGCTGTTCCTCCTTTAATATAAAATATATTTCTGTAAAGTCCGATTAATGAAACATTAACCTTCTCTCCGGTATCAATGGAGTCAACTGTAAATGCATCGGTTTCATTTCCAGCTTCAAAACGGCAGAATTCAACGTTAATTTTCATTAAACCTTCACGGACAAGGGTTGAATAAATGCGACTGTAAAAAACATAATCATCTATGCCTGTACATTTGTAAAAAAGCGATGAAACAAAATAATTTGGTTCAAGATTCTTCTGACCATTTTCGCCAAGGTCAGAATGATAAATTGCAGGACCTACATTGGCCGTACACTCTATATAATCTGTTCTAAAGGTATCTAGCTGACCTCCTATCAAGTATATTGCTCCGCCCATGTATTGAGCAGTGCAGCTCTGATAAAGGCAGGAATTGGATCGTAAAAATGTACCAGTAGAACGTACACCTCCTCCATTTTCATCTGTGGAGCAGTAAATAAACGTGCATGACCAAAGTTGAAGTTTTTTATCTGTTTTAATCGCACTTCCGATACAATTTGTAAAATCAACTGTTTTAATCCATGTATTATTAGTATTAAATGTTGTTGTAGTCATTAAAGGATATGCAGAATAATAGACAACGTATTCTGATGGAATCGAGCTAAATTTTAGTGGAGACTTTAAAAATTTGGAAAATTTAGAGTTTGTAATTGTTTCACTACCTAAATTAGTCTTATATAAGAAATTTGAAGCGAATCTTGAGACTTTTACGTTATTTAGTGCTAAATTCGTGAAATTTGAATATTTTTGTTGCAGTAATAAGGGAGATTTACTCAAATGTTGGTTTATTGTCAATGATCTGATGACGAGTTCCCTTGATTTCGCCAGAGCGAAAAAAAGGGGAATCATCAGGAGATTTTTGATTTTATAAAATTTTTTTGACCGTTTATAAAAAACATGAAAATCGCATTTTTATTTAAATTCATGATTGATAAACTTCTGAAAGGAATAACTATTACTAAAACACCAAAATAATAAAGAATTTCATTAAAAATCGAATTCAAAATCGCCAATTAATAAATAAAATAGGAAATTTTACTTACCAATTCATATTTTAGACAAAGTTTAAACAAATTGCGAAATGGCCAAAGAAGTAATACATACATTTAATTTAAATATCATCACAAATGCAACGCGAATGATAGAAAATTTCAAATTTCTCTTGGTTTCATTGTGTAAACTTGATAAGATTTATACCATAGGATAATTTTATGAAAATATTAAAGATAAATAAAATTTGCACCATTATTAACTCTTATCAAGACAGCAAATATATTTCATAAAGTAAAAACAGATAAGAAGGTTAAAAGAAGTTATTTTTTTTAATTAAATAAATAAAAATTAACATATATATAATAAAGTTAAGCAGCGAATGATTCGAACGAGTCTTCCTCATCCTGCTGTTCCTCAGAGAAGTTGAGTTCCTCACTCATACCGACCTTGCAGAAAATGAGTGAAATGAGGATTCCGAAGACAACAACGAAGAAGAGGATGAAGAAAGCGAATGTTACCCAAGCAGCTATTTTCTCTGCCTTTGTTAGTTCGGCTTCAGCTACAGATGTTGGGATTTTGATGTAATCGAGGTTGCAACTCGAAGTATTAGTGAAATTCTGGTAGACAAGGATGGAATCATTTGTAGAGATATTTGGGATAGTGTTAGTCATGCATGATCTGCGAATTGCCATGGAAGAATAGTTAGATAAAGAAAGTGGAATTGAAGCATTAACAAAAGCAACGGCAAATATTGATGCATGGCTTGCATTAGTGTATGTAATTAAGGCATCGGTCTTTGCTGCTGCATTAAATTCAACAGATTCGAAACTTGAAGCAATTGAATCTGCAATTTTGATGTAAGGTATACCTTTATGCGAATCTTCCACGCTTGTAACGGTCATTAACTCAATTGTTGAGTTTGTAGCATCAAACGAGAACAAAACTGCTTGTAAAGTGTTGGTAGTGTTGGTAGTAGTGTTGGTAGTGTTAGTAGATTCTTCAGTTGTATTTGTTGATTCAGCAACTGGTCCAGGATGTATTTTAATGTTAGTGTTGTTGATAATTACTGTAGAAGAGCTGGCATATCCGATTCCTGCCACTCCACCGGTAAAGCCAGTGATATTTGTATTGTTGATCTGGAAATCTGAGACACCGGAAATGTAGAAGAGACATGCATTTGTGCCGGTGATGTTAGTGAAGGTGCAATTTGAAATGAAAATACGAGGTCCTGTTGAGTAAATAAGGGCATGGCCTGATTGAATATTTAGTTTTTGTGCTTTGCAGTTGGCAATGCGTAAACCATTGCCAGTACTTGTTATTTGGCTCGGCTCAGTAATGTCTATTTGTTTATCGACATCATAATAGCTATCAACAACAGCAAGCACCATTGGGGCTTTCAGTTTGGAAAATGTAGATGAAAAGATGTTTAAGTTGGATCCTTTCTTCATAAAAAACAATGTATCAAATGTCCTTGAGAAAAAACCTTTTGAAAACGTAGTGTTATGGCCAACTTTGTTAACATGGAACGGAGAGCCATGCATTAAATTGGAGATCGCTAGTGATATGTATGTAGTATTTATCACCATTCACTAAAAATTTTATTTCTAATGGCACCGCGCGCCCCTAATTTTATACAATTTTGATAAAACAACAAAATACACTTTGGATTGAAATATTAATTACTGAAGCATAGATCTGCTATTCGCAATGATTTATTTGAGATGAGGTGCAATTTTTATGTTTTCACTCAAAAACTGACAATAACAATAAAATTGATTTTACGCCCTTTGAATTCATAGTTTACAATTGGTTTTTATGGCCACAGAAACTTAATCCTTTTGATGGCCAAGACCCCAGATAATAGCTTCTCCTGGCTAGATTATGTTAAATATTGTTGGAAGAATATTGTTTTTTTGCAAAAGGTTTAATTTGAATTTAATATTCCTTCATAAAATGACATTATTGTATGTGAACTGCATTCATGTATAGCACTAATTTTATTTGTATTCTCTCCAAACTGTATCTTCTCGATCATATTTACTTCATTGAATAACTTTTCATACTATATAAGGCTGAAAATGCAAACTTGAATTTGCCTCTTCGGAGATAATTTCTCACTGTTAGTCAAATATCTATATATATGCTTTTTAGGAAATATGGATCAATGACATTTATTTGCTTTTGGTACAACATAACTGCTACATGCTGCTAGCATGCAACTATGAAACTCTATATTGTATAAGGAATATGTGTTAAATATTAAATAATTTTTTCATAATAATTGAATTTTATGTTTGAAAAGCTATATAGATGTACAAATAAAATAAATGTAGTTACAATAAGCTGCAGCATGTAGACTTTGCGCCCTTATCTGCATTTTCAACTTTTGAAAGCTCTCTATCCTTCGAAGGGAGAGGTTCTGCATTTTGCGTCTGAAGAGATGTACAGTTAACTTGTTTTTCTGAAAGTTTTTGAGCTGCATCAATGATTTCAAGCATATCTTGGATATTGCGGCCAACATCTGGATGGTTTTTAGTTATATGCAGAACAATTCCATCGGGGTTAATCAAAGCTGTACCTCTTAGGCAATGGCATTCATCTTCAAGATAAAAACCGTATTTTTCAGCAACTGCATGGGTCAAATCTGATGCAAGAGGATACTTAAGCATTCCAATTCCGCCATCTTTACGATCTGTCATTGCCCATGCATTGTGTACGTAGACAGAATCTGTCGAAAAGCCAATAATAGAGCATTTGAGCTTGTTGAACTTATCGAAGTTATTGTTCAACTCAACAAGCTCAGTTGGACAAACAAAGGTAAAATCTAATGGATATGAGAATAAAACAAGCCATTTTCCTTTGTAATCAGAGAGCTTGACTGTATGGAAGTCCATATCTGGACCTAATGACTGCATTGTGAAATCAGGTGCCTTCATTCCTGGCTGCAATGGGATTTGCTCACTCATTATTATAATTAGTCACTCAAAAAATAATATTATCTCAATTAAATAACGGTTATTTTTGAAATGATTTGTATGATAAAAATCTTTTCATGTTATTTCCTTATTAAATATTAAAACTTTATTAAAATATTTTTTCAATGATGTCACAAAAATTACAAACCCTCGATCGGGATCAAAAGTGCCATTCTTTTCAATTTAGTTTTATTTTTTCAAAATCCCTTACATTCATCATCCTTTTCAAAGAGTAAGTCAGTGAGGTATACAATTTAATTCTAGCGTAAATGTTACTCTCATAACCAAAATTCAGATTGAGAATTTTCTGCATTTATCAATTACGCTCTATTTTTATTGAAACATTAGATCTTCTCAACCATGATTATATAATTCATATATGCGATCAATGAGATATTTAAACTCACTCGAAAAACTGGAAATTTATCTAATATAATTGATTTTTTGTGCAACGCCAATGATCACGTATAACTTTATATCAAATAAGTTCTTCGAACACTGGCTATTGTGCATATTTCACTAAACACATTTCAGATTGAACTTAATGAAACTAAATACATACTGTTCATTATTAACAATGTGTCTCGATTTTGACGAATATTTAGATTTTAATGGCATTATATCATAATTTATAATTCCTAAATTTCCATTCTCATTTTATGGAAATATCTACCCATTTGATACAAATGTGAGTATTTTGAAAGAAATATTCTTGAAAAAAATGGTGATTTCGCACATGTTACATGCTTAATCTGATTAATTAGCATATTTGTTTTCAAGAATTAAATGCAATTCCACCTATTTAAACTATGAAACGGTAGAATTATAGATATGGAAGTATGTATTCAATTATTATGCTTATTAGGAAAAATAATCATCACAGCAGAGTGAAAAACTCTACTTTTAAGTTACATAAATTGAATGGTTGTAAACACAGCTAAATTTTTCACGTTTTTTAGAAAAATTTTTTTTTCTGATGATTGATGATGATCCCGTTAGTAAATTCTATCTCGGCAATTCCAATGACCCAAATGATATACTTAAGAAGCAAATTGTAGAGAAAGCTCTTTCGGAAAGTTTGCAACTCAGAAAACTTTCAAAAAGACTTGATGACATTTTCTTTGAAAAATCCAGCCAACCGAGTACTTCTCAGTCATCTCATTCAGGAGAAGAAGAGGATGCATCTGCTCATTCAGAATCCTCTTCTGGAGCTGGTTCTAATTTATCTGAACAAGAAATAGATTTTCTTTTACAAAATATTGTTCAGCAAGAAGAGCAAGAAAGTCACAATGACAATGAAGAAGCCCAAGAAGATAATATTGAAGAAGAAGACCAAAATGAAGAAGATGATCATGAACTTGTTTTAGTTTTGGGACATGACGAAGAAGAGTCATTCGCAGAAGAGGAAGAAGAAACCAACTCCACTCAAGAAAGTGGAAGAGTTGAACATAATTCTGTAAATTTAGAAGCTTTCTTTTCAATTATGGAATTCTTCTCTAATCTGCTGCCTTCAGCCCAGGATAGTATCCCTTTCGCAAGAGATTCTCAGGCAAATTATCAATTATTACATTTATTTTCAATTCTCACTGAAGTACAGAAGAAATCTATGACCACAGACCAGGCCATTAAATATGTATATGATTTAATGGAAAAAATCAAAGGAGAAAACCAGCAAAATCCAAATTGAAATCAATCTTCAAACAAACATGTTATTTATGCCATGCGTTCAATCAGCATACGAAAAGTATTTAGTTTCTTTACTGCATCAATGTATTTTATTCATAATTTACAAAATTTTCTATTTCCTTACTTCTTTTTATTCAAAATCATACAAAATGTTTGTTGTACACAGAAGTGAATGCTATCTCTTATACTTATCATTTACAACTACAAATAAAAATCATAAATTTTGACAAGATTACAATATCCGGCCATGGGTTGTCCAGTTTACTAAGAGCAAGTCATCGAAGACTGCTGCTATGGCATACAGAGTTTTGACTCACCTCAGACCACAACCAGATGAAATTAACTTTGTTACAGCTTTGGAGCAGTTAGATGATGAAGTTATTCAACCAGAACTTCTTAAAGCATTGTTTTACGTCACAGATTTCCCTAACTCCAGAAGATTTGCTGCCAAGTTAATCAGATTTGCCAAAAACGACGAAGTTGCATTCGACGTCTTATGTGCATTTGCAGCCACACCAGCCAACATGAAGACCGTTGCAAATGACCCATCATGGTACGTCTATGACGGCCTTCCAACCATTACTAACTCATTCAAGATGCTTCTCTATTTGTTCACTGTTCCAGAGGTTAAGGACACAGTTCGTAATTCACCACACTTCCCAACACTGTTACTTAAAATTGCGAGAACATTATTAATAAATATATCAGTTTATCAAATATTTATAATAAATGCAATAAACTTTCTAAGAGCAAACATGTAATATACCATAAGAAACAAAAAAAAATCATTATATTTACTATCTTTCTCTTCCTTCAAGAATGATTGTAATATGTTAATATAAATATTTGTTTAAGGGTAGAACTCTCATAATTTTCGAATATAAGTGTGTTTCGCCTAAACATTCTTGGAATGCCAACGATACTTCCCAATGCGAATAAAAAATATTTAGGAATACTATACTATACTTTGAAACATTTCTTTATTAACTGATGTATTGTGAGATATGATAATACTTTAATATAAAATCCATTGGATTTTAATTTGATTGATAGATAATGGTTAGTTTTAATAGTTTTACCTGATCATACTCAAAAGGAAGATTAGAATCAATTTGTATATGGATAGGTTTCATAGCATTGAATTTTGAACTTTCTGTGAAAAGTTATAATATTACCCAGATTTTCCTTACTTTTACCACTCCCCATGTAATTTCTGGGGAAAACGATAATTCTTTTTTTTTATGGATGAATAGATCGTTTTCCTAGAAAGGGCCTCATATCTCTGGCTAAAAAGAGTGTCAGATCCTAAATAGATTATTGATCTAGTGTACAAATCCAATAAAAAGCCTATTTTTTTGGCTTTTTTGGTGCTCATTTTTTCGAAGATCTACATGAATATGGGGAAACCATCGGATTTTTTTGGTTAACCCACATCTTCATGTAGTCTGGACTATCTTTCCTCGAAGGACCTCTTTACGGGTGTAAAAACTCATAAAGTTCTCAAAAGATTCATTCTCGATCTCCATGCTGAAAGAATTTACAATAAAAAAGAGATCTACGCATCAAACTACAGCCATAAATGAACTGAACCCCTAAAGCTCAGCTCTTAGTTTATCAAAAACGTCGAAATCCTTCTCATTGCAATCAAATTTTCTCAATAACTCATAAGAAAAATCGAATTTTGATTAAGCCGATGTTATAGGTATCACAAATACTACAAACTTGAGCAATATCGAAATTGCCAGCAAAAGTTTGAAATTGCATTGCTCATATTTGTTTTGTAAACTAAAAATCTGCTTATATTATTCATTAATTTTTTATATATTATTCATATACTTTAATAAAAACAATACTATTTCACCTTAAAAATGAATTTCATAAGTCAATATTATTTTTTTGAAAATGTATCAATTTTCGATTAAAACAACATGAGAATAAAATTTACGCAAAATTATTTTAAAAAATGGTTTTAAAAATTTACAATTGATGAAGAATAAGATTGCAAGAAGTTTTGAAGTTTAATTTTAAGAAAAAAAATTCGGATATTATTCATGGATCTAAGTAATCTGATATTTGAGTATCGGCACTATGCATAAAACATATATTTATAGTTGTTTTGGATTTTTATGATTTTAAATATATTCAAATTTGGCAATCCAATAGATTTTTAAAAAATAGGTAAATAAAAATAGATTACATATGCAGCAGATTTAGAACATGAAACAAATCTTATAGTGACCCAAAAAAAATTCATGATCCAAAAAAGAAAAAAATGGGTAAATGGAAATCAAACCTTGGCATAATGAATCATTATGTATGATGTTTCCACTACACCGGCAGTTCGAAACATACCCTTGGTGGTTCTATTTAATAGCTACTCCCAACGATAGGCGGTGTCCCCAGCTTTAGAGGGGTGGTCAAAGTAAGGAAAATCTGGGTAGAAAAAATTTAGATCTCACATTATTTGATGTGAGATAAAAGTGACAAATGTAGCTTATCAATGATAAGCTATTCCGGCTTTTCAAATATTAAAGGGGATAATCCAGTTATATATATTTCACATAAAGATTCCAACTTACATGTTTCACATTGTGATTTTAAAGAATGTGAAAAATATACTATTTTTTCATATAAAAATGAAAATCGAGGTGGAGCATGCATTTTGCATATTGGAAATAATATATCATGTGAGTATATATCATTGTGTGCATGTTACTCCCCATACCAAGCTATTATTTTTTCTATAAACCAAAATAAACCAGAAAATTCTCATTTTTATAATGAAATTAGTTTATCTAATTGTTCTTGCTCATGATGTTTAGTTCTAACAGATTATTGCCCAGCGTATTTCCATAATCTAAATACCTCGAGAGGATATATGAATATCTATGTAGCTTTCCATTCTGGTTGGGGATCTGTGGGTGGCGATTCTATATTTTGGATTATACACAATATGACATGTTTTGCTGTGATTGGACATAATAATAGAGCAATTAATTATGATTATATTGAACTTATTTCGAATAATAATCAATATTTGATATTCTATTTTATTCGTAATGATCACTATTATGTATCTAATTCTACAATAGTTGGAAATAAAATGGGAAAATATGGTTCGGGAACTTTAACATTTAGAAATTGTATATACGACAAAAAAGATTATGTTGATATAGGTCCGAACTGTGTTTTTGTGCAAACATATAGTACAAACATCTCTCTAGACTGTGTGAATTATTTAGATAAAAAAGTCAGTAATATTTTAAAATATTCTGCATGTATTTCCTATTCGTTCCTGATAGTTAAGATCGCCACGATAAATATATTTTTGATAGCTAACATTAACCATTCCTACTAGGCCTTCCTCCAGATATTCAACGGAATCTAAACTAGGAACTTGTATGCACAATAGAAGTAACATATAAAATTTGTCTTATACTCAGCCATGGCATTAATATTGTTCAAAATATACTTGAAATATTGTTGCGATGTTACTCTAACATGAGATACCACTTTCGCTGTTCAATAATTAAAGATTTTTTCCAAAATTAAGAAACTCTCAGTGTGATAATGGTGTTTGTTTTGTAAAAGATTTTCTTGAACTCCAATGACCAATTTGGATTTCAATTTTTATGAGGCTCTCAATATTTGAAGTCAACCGATAAATGTTTTTCATTATTTCTCATTGATTTTTGAGCTCTTCAATAATTTTCAAAGGTATTTCTGGCCGGTGTGTGTTATTAAAGAAAAGGCTGGTGTAAAATTTTTGAAATCAAAAAATAAAAGCAAAAAAATGGATGCAGGGGAGATCGAATCCTCGGCCTCAACAATGCAAATGTTGCGCTCTACCACTGAGCTATGCACCCTTGACAGAATTTGTCCAAAAGGAGTATTTTTGAAGAGTTTTACATCATGATCAAATGTGAATTTGTACTTACGATGGAACTGAAGGTGATGAGGCAAGAACTATACATTAAGGTCCTATATACTTTAGTTTACACAAGGAACTATTCAGTTACAAAGCATGAACCCAAAGGCATGCTGCTTTTTTATGAATTTGAGTTCACTAGGCACATACCTCAGGTTATCACCTAATAGGCACCTACGTAATCTCTAATATAGGGAAATTTTGTGTTAATTTTCTGAATTAATAAATTTTATCAAATTTAGATGGAACTGAAGGATAATTTATAAATTATACACATATGAGCATTCGATTCCCTATAGAATATTAATTACATAATCGGAATTGAAAGCATTGAGAAGAATTTCGAATAAAAATTATGTGTTTTGGATTCCATTTTAATGTAAGTTTCAAATCCAAAAAGCTTAGGGATTGTCAATCTTAGAACTATGATCGAAGTTATATTGGTGCGATGCGCCGGTAGAATTAATTCAATTTTCTTTTTACAAAAAAAATAATATGAGTACAACATTTATAACAAAGAATAAGAAAATCATAGAGAAAATAGAACCATTTCTTGCCACTGATGAAGAGATATTGATTTGCGAGGAAGTAACTAAACATCACGCGCATGGAGGAAAAGATTCGAGAATTCTCTTACTAACAAACCTTAATTTTTCACTTGTAAGGATAAAAGCATTTGGCAATCCTATAAGGAGTCATGATTGCTCATTGCTTACATTGAAAAAGATCAAATATCAAAATCCAGACCAATTTTCTTTAAATTTCGGCAACGAATTAGCATTTTCATCTCACGATGCTCTTCAGATATGTGAAACAATACTTTATCACTATGCAGTTTTATATTATGCCAATCCTGCACCAATAGAAATTGAATCTCATCCTAGCACAGCATTGCAGCTTCCAAAACTCACAACACGCCCGCACGGCTTGTGCATGATCAGACTTCGTTCTTTCGCAACCAAATACAAATTCAAACTTAATTCAACATTAGAAAGGTTTTTCAAAGAATACGACGCTAGATTATTGCCGCAGATGAAACTTACTTCTCAGCATATTCCAGACAACAATCTGGCAACAGCGCAAATCATTGCTATGGAGCCAAACGTAAATAACATTGCATTTGATAATTTCTATCCAAAATCAATCGACACATTTACTAAAAGGATCATAGAAAGCATGAAGAACCTTGTTTCCATCACATTCTCTAACTATACCGAGTCTTTTACCACAATTGATACAAAAATCACTACAGCTGAAGGATCCAAGCTTGCTGAGCTCTGTATACAGAACTGCAGCTATGGATTCTCTTCCTCACTCATTACAGCCCTTTCTAAGTACTCCGGACGTATTCAATCCGTGAAATTTGAAAGATGCAAATTTGAGAAGGACCATGTTCGTTCTTTGTTCTCTTCTCTCCATAAGTATCCGTCATTCATGAAAATCAAGTACTTTGCCCTCAACGATGGCACTGTAGACCACATTGATTTGAATGATTTCCACAGCTTGTTCAGCAGGCTTAGATACTTAAAGTACCTCATTATCAATAAGAGCAACATCGATATATCCCAGATTCTTGTCCATATTTTCAAACACGCCTCAATTCTTGAAAATATCTGTATCCAAAACTGCAGATTCTTGGAACCGTTGGATGAATCTGTTCCTGTGCCTCCATGTATACAAATGATCGATATCGGAGAGAACCAAATCTCTCCGGAAGGAATTGGATCATTATTTAGAGTTTTGTTCACAAATCCGAGAAGAAACACCGTAACAATTTACGCCAGTAAGATTGCAAGTACAAGCAACATGTCAGAACTTATTGATGCAATGTGTATCAAAAATGCTTTGCCAATTCTGGCCGAATTCAGGTTTAACAGAAACGAAATCACTCCAAATAGTCTTAAAAAATTATTGGACTTCTTGAGAACCCAAAGTACCCTTAAATATTTGGCATTAACAAATTCTATCACGGATGACATCGAAGAATGCTTCGAACACCTCTCAAAGTTCGTCAATGATGGTCATGTGATAGGTATTGAGATGCTTTCTACACCTCCGAACACGGAATACAGTGCAGAACTGATTAAATTCCTTAAATCAATTGTTGGTGCAAAGAATTTGCAGATTTTGGCAGTTGATAGGAGTTCTATTGGATCAGAAGGTCTTGCAGTCCTTAAAGAACTCATCCAAGCCAATGAAACATTTTATTCGATATCTTGTGATGGAATTGGAGCTTCTTCCCTTCAAGATCTGACTGATTTCTATCAGTTCGTTGCGGATTGCAGCCATTTAACGAACGTATTGATTCCGAAAATCGATTTCCAACAATTCGAACAAAATCCTCTTCAATTGATCCCAGGATTGCGATTTAAGACACCTCCGATGTCCGCACAGATGAGATTGAAGCTCTACCAGAAGATTTCGACAAGATTATTAAACCAAGATGGACCAAGACCATTAATAGAGGTTCTTCAAGATAGTGGAGTGAACAGCCGTTCTCAGTTGACTAATCCTCTTGAAGAGATGATGCTCTATATCCATAAAATGATGGTTGTAAACGGTCATAAGATTCCAAACTTCGGAGAAAAGAATGCTTTCGATTTAGACACCAACAACGCATTGGTTACAAGGGCTGGATTGTTAACAACGTCGTCAGTCACGACAACAGCAACAAAACAAAATTTTTCTGATGATGAAGTAGAAAATCAGTCAGAAAGCGACGAAGAACTCGAAGATGAGGATAAGAAGAATGACGACGACAAGATACAAATACCAAATTCTGAAGATTTGACAGAATTATTCCTTGAAAATTTGCAAACTTCATTAATACCATGTATCTCCAACAGATACAGGAACCATCAGTCCAAACTCAATGATGACGTGATGCTAGATACCGTCAGAAACTTGGTTGTGCCGAAATTGGAAACTGTTAACCCTTCAAGGTTGGCAACGGCTTCTCCAAGCAAATTTGAGTTGTCAAAGATCGGAGGACAGTAAATTGTAAGTTATTGATTTTATGTGCGTAAATTATTTGGAAAATAAAAAATTTATGTTTAGTTTTATAAAAATAACAACTTCTTTTTCACTGAACTCGGCAATCTTAAAATATTTTCAACATTAAATTAGTAGGTTTATATAAATCAAAATATACCTCAATTTTTTTATGGTGTTCAACTTTGGGTTAATAAGTAAACTCTTAATTTCATTGTTTTTAGGATAATCACAAGAGATCACATCCTCAAAAGCTAAATTCCAAGTTAAAGAGAATCAAATTCAACAAATATTTGATAGTTCTAAGTATATAGCTTTTCATTGAATATTTTAGGAGAATTACGGTAATATGGTCCATGAAAAGGGCAAAGAATTGAATTTGATTAGAAAGATGATCAATAGATTCATTAAAAAGATTGAATATCATTTAGTTAATCTATATGACCGACTACTTTCAATGCTGCAAGATATCCACTTGTCGATCTAGTCTCAAATTTGTACAAAAATTTTAGTTGATAAGAATTGTGAGAAAAATAATCGTTTTATAAAAATTAGACTCGATTTGGAACAAGATCATGGAGAAAAATGCATCAACTCCCAACCAAACTAAAGGAAACACATCAACAGATTCTAGCTCTGTCCAAAATCAAAACTCAAAAAACGATAGTCAGCCAGCTTCTTTAAATTCATTTAATAGTGAGCAAGATACTGTCGATTCTTTCCCTTTCAATCCATTTTCATCTACAGCAATTAACGAAACTCCTTCTCCAGTGCAACCTCAACAAGATATTCCTCCGATACCAAAACCACAAAAATTAAGGGTTTCAATTCCATATTCTGTAATCGTTTCTCCAGAAAATGTTGCTCCTCTGCATCTTCAAATCGATCCTGCAGATGATTCGACGACTTATACTGATATGCTTGAGCTTGCTGAATCAGAAGCTTTTACAGAAGGTGCTTTCGACTTTACAGAGCTTGCAACTCAAGATGATCCAATGTCTTCTGCGGATGCCGCGTTTGCATTTTTGAAGCAAATCAATGCTCAGTAGTATTATTATTCCCTTTCTTTGTTAATAATTAATAAATATGTTCTATTTCTATTAATATTTTATAACAAAGATAAGCAATTTTAGCAGATAAAATACTATTATTACTCAAATGAGATGATAATTGTAGATTTTATGATATGGTTGAATATTAAATCATTAATATATTCTAATCAATGATTTACAATTTTCCAATTTTGGCTTTTTAAATCAGAAAATTGAAATTAATTTTGAAAAATTCCAAAAAAAATGTGAAATTTAAAAAATCAGTAACAAAAACAACGAGATGAATTGATGACTTTTGAAATCTTTAATTTTCTTGAATCAGACCAAGTAGCTTATTCAACCGGATAATGATCAACAAGTATAAATCCGTCAAAATGGCAAAGAATTTTAATTCATTTCTTTTAATATTTGATCTTTCATAAATATTTGCTAACCACTTTAATTACATAAACCATGGAATATGAAATATGCAGTACTTCAATTCCATCTCGTATCCCTATTTTTGATTTTTAGTCAATCAAGGATTTATTTCACATATACATAGATGAACTGAAGTACAGGCTTATGATGCTATAACCTAGTCTCCTAATTTCAACGAGAGGAAAGATTTTCCTTATTTCTCATATTGCAACGTTTAAATCTTGATAAAAACATATGTTGAGTTATCCAGTTAAAAATATACATAATGATGCCACTCATTCACGCTGAGTATCAACATTGCAAATTCCTTTTTATCAATCCTAATTAATAACGATTCCTCTATAATTTTCATCTTACCATTATCGATTTCCATACTATTAGTGAGTCCCAGAACCGTACGCCATTTTTCATTTTATCAGACGATAGACATTATTTAGTCAGACCGTAAATAAACAGTTTATTTTAATTTACAAAGTTTGAGGGTTTACATCTATTATTTATTTTTTCTTGAAATAATGATTCAGAGACAATAAATTAGCATATATATTTTTGTACCTATAAATTTTGAAAAGAATATTTTTATCAGAAATCTTCCTTACAAAAATTACATTCAAAATCTCGGATTTATAAAAACTTAATTATTGTGTGTGGCATCTCAAATATCTCACGAACAATTTAAATATAAATCCACACTACATTCAATTTTATAATGAAAGGGTATGACTACCTCTCTAACATGGAAGTATTAAACTCTTTCATTACTTTTTGTAGATTTTTCGATGATCTTGGTGCTGTGAGTACTTTGCAAGTAATTGGACAACATCTGATCGCAATTTTGAAATTAATATTAATATATTGTCAAGTTTTAGCTTCAGTTGTTATAATTATCAAAGCAAAAAACTGTGAACACCACGATATATCACTTCATTACTTTAGAGAAGCTTTCGGTTTGTGTTATTATTCCAAAGTTGAATCAATCTACTCGGTACGTTCCTTGTATACATTCATTATTATATTTATTTTATCATTAATATCAATATTCATACGTCTTCAACAGAAATTTCTTAAATCTATCATGCCAATGCCTGCATTAATTTTCAATACTTTCTATAATATAATATCACCGCTTTTAATGACATGTATATGCATCGGTTTAACTTCTTCTTTGTTTAATTTTGTACGTTCAACAAATTGGAATGCTTTGATTATTACTTTCCTTTCTGGGCTTTCATTGCCTTCATCTATATTCGCACTAATTCGCCTACTAACAGATTCAAGAATGGAGAAGTTACCATATATTACTCCGAATTACATTTTAACAATGAAAACTTTTTCTTTTTATTTATCATCAATAATAGGATTAATCTACATAGAATACTCAAAGGATGAACAAGTGTCTTCGGTTTTCATAACAATCGTACTTTTTATTGCTGGAATAATTTTATTGTACAATATTTTCAAAGTACCAGTGTATTACAACTCATGGCACTCTTTTTTATCCATTCAAATTGTTTTTATGGAATGTGCATGCTTGATGACAGTCTGTATTTCAAGATTTAAAAGACTAGGTTCATATGAATCGGCATTAAGGATTCTCATGGCTAATGGCGTATTTGTGGTACTTTCATTGTTACATACCTATGTAAGCAGATGGAATTTAAGAAGATTATTGAGATCTGTTGAATGGATTGATCCTAAGAAGTATTCTCCAGCAAGATTAACACGTATCTTATGCGTTGCTGATATTAGAAAGGATCAATGTAAGTTCCCAAGAAACTTTCCTGAAGTAGTTTTACAAACTTATCCAGGAAATCCTTCTGTAATTGTGTTTTCTATTTTATTTAAACTATATGATCCATCAGCACATAAGGAATTACTTGAATTTGCTGAAAATCTCTCAATGTTCTACTCAACAAATAAATATTTAAGTTCAATGTTGCGTTCAATCATATTCATTGCATCAGGAACCACAACAACTAAAGGAACAAGCATTTCCTCATCTCTTTTATCTATTTGCTACAAACTTGAAGAACAATATTGGTATTATGTAATTCAAAACAACACAAAGACAGCACAAATGGCATTTCATGATCTTACACAACTTGTTCAACGCGCAAAACCTTTCTTTGAAAGACATAATGCTGTTATTGGCGGTAATGAAGATTTTTCAAAATATATCACTTTGCGACCAGAAAATTATGAAGATAAAATCATGGCTGATTCACTAGAGGAAGAAGACAAATCAGATAATCCGGTAAATTCGATTCCTTTAATTGAAAATCATGATGAATATTTTCAATTGCGTTTGAAAAGTATCAAAAAAGTAAATCCATCAAATTTCGTATTTACCAAATCATTGGGTGTCATTATATTAACTATTATTGTTTTGGGATGCATACTTGGCTATCTTTTTGGCTCTGCATCGGGAATTCCTCCTCTCAGAATGTACAAAATGGTTCAAAGAATGTTTTTGGCGTATTCAAACATTGTTTCTGCATGGTATGTACCAATTTCATTGTATCTTAATGATGCTAAATCAGATGATCAGAAGAAACTCGGTTTAGAAACAATCAACACATCATTTGATAATATTTTTACAATCAGTTATTTAAAGAATACGAAAAACATTTCAGAACTCTTCCTGAAGGCTCAAGAAGAGTTAATACAAGCAACAGAAAACGAAACATTCGTAAGTAATTCAAATACAACTGACAAATTGTTTATGTTGTTAATGAATAGATGCAAATATTTATATACAACATTTAACACATATGGAACTAATGCAGACAAAATGGCAAAAATAACATTATATGGATTAACATTTGTATTAGCTATTTTCTTAGTTTTGTTTTATCTTTTGATGTATAGATCTCAGAAATTGTATTTCTATTTGGGCTGCCAAACAATGCATTTCAAAAAAAATTATGTATCATTTTTAAGAAAGAAATATCAAAAAATGATCCTAAAAGAAACAAAAACATTGCCAGAAAGCGGAAAATTCAACAATTCTTATTTGACATTTTGTGTAGCATGCTTGTTCCCATTGATTATTGGTTATATCTACGCATTAGACATCAAAATGATTAACAAACAATTCATTAATTTTATCAAAGTATCATTGCTTACATCTCAGGCGACACCAATGATTGCAAACAACAATATATTGATTCCACTTTTAATGAATGATTTGCAGATTAATGAATCATTATCAAACATCAAGTTATCATATTGTTTTCTTATGGGTTTGAATAATAATATTTACACAACAAACTTGAGCTTTGAGTACGAATCCTTTTTCAACCAAACATCATATGATTCCATCATCAAATCTGATTCCGAAAGTCATGAAACACTAATTAGAGCAATGAAAAATGTGAACAAACAAATATTTGTTGAAATGATGAACATTTCTTTAGTATTAGTTAGAGATTTTTATATCATTTTGATGGAATCAGGATTAAATCAAAGCGTGAGAGATGTTGCTAGATTAACAATTCCTTTGATCATATATTCAAAGAATCCTTTAATTAATTTCTTGACAGATGTCAACAAAAAATTGAATTTTTTGGCTGATTCTGTATACTTTACTTTTATTTCTGCTCCTATTTTATTCTTCATTGCGATATTTGTAATGATTGTCTATGGAATGGTGATTATAAGTAGAATTAACACAAGTGTCGATTTGATGCAAAGAATGATTTGCCTACCAAAATATGATAATCCATTTTTCGATGAAAACCATAATTTCTTGGGATATAAAGATCAAGTTAAGAAGATCACAAACGAAATATTCAATTCATTCCCTATTCCTACATTCCAAGTTTCCAAGGAAATGAAAGTTGTTGATCAAAATCAAGCTGCGGAGGCAATTTTTGGAGATATCAAAGGAACATTGATGCATAATATTCCAATGGAAATTACTGATTGTTATGGAACAAGAAATTATTATAATTACTCTACTTATTTAAGGAAGAATCTTCCATCAAATTTGGAACTGAAAGGTGAAAAAGTTGTAATTTCTAATGACATGACAGGATTGTTTAATAAGAAAGAAACTTTAAGAAATTTGTATAAAGACATCAGATTAACATTCTCTATTCCAAATGTACTGCAAAGAGATAAAGCAACACACATACAGAATGTTGCAATAGTTAACTTCTTATTTAGCTCAAATGTTACAAATGATCAGTTCTTGAGTTATTCAAGCAAAATAGAAGATTTCTTTTCTCAATTTGTTTCATTTTTCATGTTTGAAAAGATGAGATTTTCTTTTTATGTTTTGTTTTATGATCCAAATTCTAGCAGACAAACATGTAGAGATGCTCTTGCATTTGCTCAAATTGCGAGATATGAGGGAGTTAACAGAAAGATTGAAGTAAAAATTGCTGTGACAATGGAAGATGAATTGATTGCAATGGCTCAGAAGAATGATATGATTTGGTCTGTTAAATTCCCTAATTCTATTCTTTGGAGATCGGATATGATGCATGCAAACATTGATTACGGAAGAATTATATGCTTATCAAAGATGTCTCCTGGTATGCACTTCTCTAAAACTCTTAGTTTAGGAGTTCATCATGAACAAATAGAAGTTACTACACTCTAAATATATATTATGTTTTTTGTTTGATTGCGTTATTAAACTCTTTATTTGTTGTTTTTGTGACTGAAATTAATACAAATCGTTTATACTAATTATGTTAATACTTTGGAACCTTATTCACTCAGTGCTATCCTATTCTATCATTTGATTTTTAAAATTTTGATATATGATTCCGAAAAAAAGTTGTATTTCAAGATAAATAATAATTAAAAATCATATAATAGTTATTAAATCAAATAAAAAGTAAGTTTATCTAATGATCAAAGAGTTCGAAGAAATATCTGGTTTCAATTTCAGCTTCTTCTGGGATATCTGTGCAATGAACAGCGCAATATGTTTGGTTCTTTCCGAATTTAGCTCTAATTGACTCAGGGCGAATAACTTTGGCGACCTTTATATCAATTGGTCCAACAAGTTCACGGAAGTCACGAACAACATCGAAAGATCCCTCCTTCTTGAGCTCCAAGCCGATTAATGGGCCAGAAGCAAACTCTGTTGTAATTTCCATATAATTATCTATTACACCTCTGTAACATTCGTAAAACTCGTTAGCTGCCTGTATATCGTAAGACTCCATAGCAGCACCAACAATCTGGTAGCCTGCCTTTGTGATCATTTGGATGAGTTGTCCGGCTAAATTTTCTTTGACAATATGTGGCTTAACAACACAGAGTGTGGACTCCTGATGAGAAGCAACAAGGCGGATGGAGTTATCTCCAAAGATAATTCCGAGCTCACGCTTAGCAGATTCTGGAGAATCTGATCCATGAGCGAAATTCTCTGTTGTACTGCGGGCAAATCTAGCACGCAATGATTCTGGAGCTTGGGCCTTAGCATTGTCAAGGTTTGTTGGGCCAATAATTTGACGCCATTTGGCAATTGCATTTTGACCAACAAGTTCCATAGCTACAATTGGTCCGCTTGTCATATAACGAACAAGTGTATCATAAAATGGCTTACCTTGATGCTCAGCATAGAACTTAGCTGCAATTTCACGATACATATAGCCCATTCTGAGTTTTGCAACTTGAAGGCCTTCTTTATTTATGCGCTCGATTGTTTCACCTAAATATTGAGAATATCCTGGTTTGATCATTGCGTATGTAGACTGAATTTGGTTGCCAAGTGTTTTTCGTGTAAATTCGTCTGCGTAGTCGACAATATCGTATTGACGACCATTAACTAAAATCTTATTTCCTACGTAAAGATCTGAAAGTGATATTTTGTGCTCTAATGTTTTTCTAAGAATCATTCTTTTTGCACGGCAATCGTAAATATCTATTTCTCCTCTTTCGGTATAAAATTGGATGATATAGTCACGAAGCAACATTGATGGGGTATCAAAATATTGAAGAGCGAAGGCGTATTTGGGAAATTCAACTTCCATTTTTCTGGATGTTTAAAAAATACGTTTTCTAAAACCGTTTTTATTTTTCATTGTAAAGCGTCAGAATAAATGTTTTTGACAATGTAAAGCAAAATATAATAATGATATTTAATCAAAGATCCAATATTAAATACCAATGTACTTCTAATTTCTTGCTTTATTGGTCATTTCCTCATATTTTCTAATATTTTGACAGTTTATAATAAAAATTATGAGAGCGCGTCCTCGTGCAGCAATTTTAAAGGAATCTCAAGATATTATTGCTTCTGTTAAAGAACTTGATCTGACACGCAAGAATTTGAAAGAACAACTTGATATAGCGCGCAATAAAGTTGAAGAACAGAAAAAAATCGCAGAACTAATGTCAGCTCTGATGCAAAGAACAGATATTCCTAGTGAAGAAGTCACATCTAAACGTATTTTGGAATTACAGCAAGAAATTGCAAAAGCAAAAGCAATTCAAAAAGAAATGAAAGACAAATCAAATGAAATGCATAAAAATATAGAGAAATCACTTAATATGCAGCAAAAGGCAGTTCAACAGAATAAAATCCAGGAAAGAATTAATGAAATTAAAGATTCGATTCTTGCTGAACAAAAAAGAGAAACAGAACTCAAAGCAAAGCAAGCAAAATTATCATCAGACTTACTTAAAAAGCAAGTTGAGCTCAGAGGTAAACAAGAATTACTTGAAAAAGAATCAACAGAGCCACCAGATCTTCAGCAGCTACGCAAAAAGTTAAATAATCTTCAAGATCAAGTAAATATCATTTCGGCTCAAAAAGAAGCTTTTGAGCAAGAATACGATGATATTTTAGAACAGTTAAAGGCAGCACGTGATAAACGTAAGATTTACGATTCTCTCAAAGAACAATCAGAAACAGCTAACATTGATGAATCTAGATCTGCTATATTAGAAAGTGCTTCTAAAAATTTAGATTTGAGAAGATACAAACCATTGACAGAAGAAGCTTTCTCCATAGATGACTTAACAGAACTAATTCAAGAATGTCAATTCCTTATTAAATGCGCTGAATGCGAATTAGAAGAAGAAAAATAGTGTTGTGATTTGTTTTTGTACAAAATATTTTGTTGTTTGTGATTAAAATTAATTTTGGTAAAGTTTTTTTTTGGATATTTCAGGAAACAAGATTTTATAATGAAAGTATATATAAATAATATTCTATCGTTTATTAATAACAAATGTAAGATTGTAATAGGATAGTTAAGCCACTCGAAAAAAAATTAATGATAAATTCTTTTCTTTTTTCTTGTAACATAATACAAACCATTTTTGAATTAACTTAAGATTCTTTAGCAAGGTTTTCGCAAGCTCGTAAGAATGTTTCTTTCAATTGATTCAACATACCAACGTATTGAACAATTTCAGGAGTCTGTTTAATATCCGAACAAATTTGGAATGGTGGTGGCTTTTCCTTTTTCCTATTTGGATCTTTAATTGAATTCGTTTGATTTTTTGCTTCTCTAACTACGAGCCTTTTGCCTTCAAAATTAGCATCATTCAAATCCTTTATGCAATATTTAGCATCTGAGGCCTTTTGATATGTTAGAAAAGCCATACCTTTGAATTTTCCTGTTTCATCAACCATCAAAAATGTATTTATTATTGGTCCTTATTGAGAGAAATACTTAGTTATTGCGTTTTCGTCCATATCTAGAGGAAGATTGTTTACATATATTTTCAAAGGAGTTTCCTGCATTTGATTTTATTTTCACAATGAAATTAGGGGGAGTAAAATTTTTGAAAAGAAAAAATAAAAATCAAAAAATGGATGCAGGGGAGATCGAATCCTCGGCCTCAACAATGCAAATGTTGCGCTCTACCACTGAGCTATGCACCCTTACATTATTTTGTTTAAAATTTAATTTAATAATTCAATTTTCCAAAATCTTTAAATCAAAAATTAATATCATTCTAAAATACTTTGTTCAACAGAATTTGTAATTTAGTAGATTAAATATTTATATTTTACTGCTTCTGCTGCTGCTTGAGGAGAGCCTGGTATTGTTCAGCCTTCTTCTTTGTGGCCTCACGCTTCTCCTTACGCTCCTTGAGCATACGGTTCTTGCGAGCAACACGGCGAGCTGTGATAAGGCGCTGGACCTTTGGAGATGTGAATTTGCCTGGCTTGACTTCGCGCTTAAGAACGAGCTTGGAAGCATCGAACTTGGAATCTGTGATGCCGAACATGGCGCGGAGTGTGGAGGCGCGCTTTGGACCGAAGCGGCGTGGAACGGCTGTTGTTGTAAGACCGTCGATTTCCTTCTCACCCTTCTGGAGAACAACGCAGTGGAGGGCGGAGATTTCGTCGGAGATGATGCAGCCACGGACTGTCTTGCGCTTGCGCTCACCATCCTTACGTGGGCGGTAGCAGGAAGCGCCTGTCTTAAGGAGAAGGCGGATACGGCGTGGTGTGATAACACCTTGCTTCATTGGGAAACCCTGCTTATCGAAGCCACCACCGATGCGGAAGAGGTAGCCCTTGAATTGGCCGCCGAGCTTCTCGCCTTCGATATCTTGGCCGACACGCTTTTCGTAGAGAGCGTTGAGGGCAGCTGGGTCATCAATATCAACGACAACCTGTGTGCCGTTTTCTGGATAAGCAAGAGTAATTCTCATCGAAAAGAAAGGCCGACAATCTCAAACAAAGTCTCTCAATTTCAGTTGGACCAGGTGTCACTTTTACATCACAATATATTTTGGGGTTTTAATATTAAAAATAGACTTTGTATATTATGTTTATTAATTTTATTTATCAATTTTAAATGAAAGTTAAATAATATTTCCAAATCTTTGCAGTATTGTGTTTTGAATAGTCGATATAACCAATTCATGGCGAGTGTTTATTAGATTAGCATCAAAATATGCAAATTATCAACACTTCAACAAAGTTTTCTTTCAATCGTGTGGAAGTTCATTATTTAAAATTCATTAAAAATACACATTTTTAAGAAAATTTGTCAAGGGTGCATAGCTCAGTGGTAGAGCGCAACATTTGCATTGTTGAGGCCGAGGATTCGATCTCCCCTGCATCCATTTTTTGATTTTTATTTTTTGTTTTCAAATAGTTTAGTCGGTTTTTGCATTTTTAAAATGTTAGTCACCTTTCTCCTTCCAAAGTGAAAAAAAATTGTTTAAAATATAAAAAGAATTTTTATTCGCATAGGCGACAAACAAGGATTTATAAATAAATAATGGGGCTTTGAGTATTGATCTGAATTGAATCAGATAATTAGCCGTAAAAAATCTTCTAATAACGATTTCTCATGCATGAAAGATGGCAATGAGTGGCGTTAATGAGGGCGTTTGATAATTGGAGTTGGACATAAAATTTGGAGATCTTAATTTTTGAGAATTTTGGTGCGATCTTACTGGTAAAAGCAAGAGTATGGAAGGAGATTGAACTGAGAAAAAAACTAGAGCATGCAAAAGAATCATGCTACAGCTTAGTTGAATGTCATTTATGCAAATAAAAATATCTTTTTCAAATTTCAAACAAATTTTTGCCACTTTTTGAAAGAAGATAAGGTAACAAACATTTTAAAATGCAAAACCTAGACTTAAACTATGCCGAAATGTGAGCTCACCGTTACGGTTTTTTCTTTTTTTGGGGGCTCGCAAGCTCGCCCCCAAAGAAAAAACCGTAACGGCGACTAACATTTAGGAAAAATTTAATTCGAATTCCTGAAAAATAATTTTTTTTTCAAAATTTTTGGATATAAAATGAGAATAATTTTATATAATTTTGTCTTTTAAATTTAATAATTAAATTTTTTTAGGTTTCTATAAAATAAATTAAAAAAAAATTGTGTGTCCAGGCGGCATCGGAATTGATCGGGAAATCGGGATAAAAGTATTCAATTTTATCCCGATAAATCGGGATGAAAGTACTCAATTTTTAATCGGGACGGAATCACTACACATTTGATAGAAACATTATTTAAAAATCGTTTGAATATATAATATGCAACTAACAAAAAAATGGATGGTGCTCCCACGAAAGGTAAAGAAACTTTCGAAGTATCATATGGGATGACAAACAAGAGTGCACAATGCACTCTTGTCAGTTAGTAAACATATCAAGGGTACGGAGGCACTGCGCGCCTCCTTACCCCTGATATGTGAATTTGACACTTTACAAAACCATTAACGTATATTTTACAACACAAACGACAACACTAACTTAACCTTAAATATTTACAAAGCCGCCAACCACTTCACCTCACTAATGTAAAAAATAAACGTTCTCACTTACAAAAGTATTGCAACTCCTCCCATTGCTGTGCTTCACACAACAGTTCATATTCTTCTGACTCACTTTCTTCTTCATATAGGTCAAAATCACTGTCAAAATAAATGTTAGTAAGTTTTGACAAAGCTAATGAAACACGCTTACCGTTTGTATCTATTGCTTTTATAAACTTTCCATTATGCTTGTAGTCATAAACGCTCAAACTAACTTTACCCTTTCTCCCTCGTATCTGATAGAATGTATTTTCACGAGGAACGAAGAACAAGTTCTTGAACTCATGACCGTTGTAGTTTGTTATCTCAATAGTTTTCGTCATTTATATAAAAATAAAATAAAAAATAAACTTAAAAATTAATGATATCACCACCCTCACACGTATGAAAACATAGCCCAAAAATATATTTAGGTGAAGTGGTGAGATCTCACCTCTTTTTTCACCTGTTTTTTCACCCTGTTGAATTCATTGCTTTATAACTCTCTTCCTTTCTCCAACTCTTCTAACTTCTTCTTAAGTTCAGCAATGTTGTCCTCATGAAGTTTAATCTTTCTCAAAATTCCTTCTTTATCTAATGGTTGCTTTATCTTTCTAAACTGAACTCTACCATCCTTCATAGTATGAATGTAAAAACCTTCTGGAATAGTTCCTGATTTAATGTATTCTACCAAAAACTTTTGTTTCATTGCTTCAGTGACTTTATTTGTCATTTCAATCAAATAAAAATTTTAATATTAAATAAAAATAACGTTATTTTTTCAGTAAGGAAACGCAGGAGTTTTACGATTTATTTGAGGAGTAGGTTCTGGTTTAAATGTTGGAGTCGGTTTAGGAGTTGACTTTTGAACAGGAGTTTGTACTTCCATAGGTTCAGGAGTCATTGAAGGTTTTGGCGAAGGTGTTGGAGTTTGTTTAACTTCAGCTACTTCAGTATTATTTACAACATTTGCTTTATTTCTTTTCAACATCATAACTGCTCCTGCTGTAGCTAGCAAACCTAGTGGGAGACCATATCTTATATAAGGACTTGACCAAATGCTATTTTTGACAGGAGCTGGTGGAACACCTAACCTTGGTGAGACTGCTCTTTGCCATTGTGCAGCTCGTAAGAAATATTCAATAGGTGCTCCATAATCGTTTGGTAAAGTTTGTTTCATAGATGGTGAAGGTTCACGAGAGCTTGATGAAGAACTCATTTATAAGCTTTCAAAATAAACGTTCATCCTTTATTCCTCACTGTCGTCCGTAGCTAAGTTATAGTCATCTAATCTTATTATTGGGATTCCATTAGCACGCACTTGAATGGCAAAGCAACAATCCCTCATAAATCCAATAAGTGGCTTTGGTACATTTTCAGTTGCTAGTTCAATAGGTCCTTTAACAGACAATTTGTATGTTATTGGAGCAGTAGATGTTTGACCTTGCTGGAAGCAAAAGTCCACTTCTGTTGGAAAACCACATAAGAAATGTGTGTTGTCATAGCTATCCCATTTATGTTCCACACTACCATCATCCACCAATGACCTCATAACATCTTCATTAAATCCTATCATATCATTATTTGTATTGCAGGCGTTCGCAACCATTTCATAAAATACAGGTCCATATGATTTTTCAGGTTCTGCAGGCATATTTCCATAAGCTCCCATGGAAAGCTGAAGATATTTAAACTTAGGGTTCTCAAAATTAACATAATAGTTGTCTTTCTTTCTAAATAGTGCCCAAATACTTTTAACATTAATAGGCGTATAAGCTGCTGTAAATGTTGCACTTGAACTATCTGTATTCTTTGAGAATGAACCGTCCATAGGAATCCAATCCATAACTTTAACAGGAAAACATAAAGCCTCGTTTGTATAATGTTCTACAAGTTCTGTATAAATGTTAGGGTCTAAAGAGAATGACTTTGGATGAATGAAACATTCATTAAAATCCATCTTTGTTCGAAATAGTTGCTGGGTTACAGTTGTAATAGTAACTGTTCCACTAGCTTCTACTGCCTTCGTTATCATAGTGAATGGTTCATTCCATGGAACAAATTTATTTGTCGGTGGATTTGAATCTGAAGCAAATGCAACTTTAAGAGTTGGATTGAAAGCAATGATATCATTTACAGATATAGATGTGCATTGTAAGGCGTCGCTACTGAACTTTACTTTAAGCTGAATGTTTCCTGCAAAAGCTGGAATAAATCGAATAGCTTCTAATGGAAGGAATCTTCTAACAGGAATTCTTAAACGAAGCTTAAAATCAAATGATTTTCCTGCTGTAATTGGACCACTAACAATTTGTCCTGTTCTGCATGTTCCCGAATGACTCCATACATCTTCATGTCGAGTCTTTGAGAAAACATCTACTTTCTTTATTTGTTCGGTAGTTTGTGAGTTTGAAGTTATATATGCTTCTTCTCTTGCGTTGTCTTGAGAATATACGATACGACCATTTGCAAGGATTTGATATCCAGCAACTGCATAGAAAGCGTCATCGAAACCAATCCAAAATCCTGGTGGGTTTGTTTTATTGGAACCTGAACCAATTTCTTTATCTACAATAAATTGACCTTCCATTTTATACGTAATGAATGTATTGTAAAGGTCCAACATATTTTCACCAGGAGGTGAGAGATTGAATGTTACCATGTGTTATCTTTAGCAGTTCCAGGTTGTGATGGAATCTTTGCGTCAGAATATTTTCTATTAGTGTCACCAATTTGAACTGCATTGTCTATGATATCGAAATATGAGCGAATCTGATGAATATGCTCTGCTGGAGTAAATTCGTTTAACTGTTCGTTCTGCATGTCTTTGATTCGGATAAAAATATCTATTTACTTCATTATTCTCACTCTTCTTCTTGGCATTCGTGGTGGAAGTTGTTTCTTGACATTTTCAATGAACTGTACATTCTCTTTTGTCTCAACTTCTTTCACTGGTGGGTCAGGGTTCTTTGACTCGGTTTGTTTTTCAATGAAATTCACGAACTTTGCAATAAGCTCTTGGTTCGTTATTGAAAGTACATCTGGCTTCTTTTCTTCTTGTTCTATTGACTTTTCAGTTTGAACAGAAGGTTTTATATGGACTTCACCCTTGCCATACACCTTAATGTTGTCGCTTTCTGCATTCGCTAATGGAACCTTTCTTTTTCTTACGTATATTTTACCATCTTTACTCTGACTTACGTAATAGAAAGGATGTTGTATTCCTCTTGCGTCATTTAATATAATAGACTCTCGCTCTGATTTTGACAAGCTCATTTTACATCGGTTAAAGTTTTAATTTTGTTTTTTATCTGCAGTCAAATGACTCAGACAAGCCCTACGGACAAGACCCAAGGGGTCATAGATGTTGAAGCATTGAAGAAAGAAATTCGTGAGCAAATTTTATCCGAACTGAAGGAACAAAAACAAGAACAAAAGCCAGAGAGACCAAAGAGAAAACTTAGTGAAAAACAACTTGCTGCATTAGCTGCTGGAAGACAAAAGAACCCACGTTTGCTGGCGAAGAAAGCTAGAGAAGAAGCTGAAGCAAAAGCTAAAGAAGCTGAAGCAAAGAAAGAGTAAATGGTTTATTTTTATCCGAATTAAATGTATAGACAAATACCTTTATCTGTTGCGTTCAGTAGTGAAAACCCTGACGTCAAAATAAAGGGGAACAGAGTAACGTTTAAGTTTCCAACAGACTGGATTGTGAACATAAATGAAGAGAAGTACATTGGCATAACATCTATGTATATAACACGTGCTTTCAGAAAGGTTGACTTTATACTTCAAGTCGAGATAGAAAATGACGAACAGTCTTTAAGCGCCCAAAACATTCACATATACAAATACTTTAAAGACGATACAACATTGCAACAATGTATGATTTCATTTAATGAGATGTTCGAGAAAAAGTTCAACATTGAAGTACAAACTTTACAGCCTTTACGTGAGTTTCTTGCACAACTGAAAGAAGAAGGTAGTCAGCCACAACTTATAGACTTTCATTATGAATTTAATGAAAATGCTGATGGAACTCATGACTGTCAATTCATTGTATTCTCACCATTCAATGAAGTAGCTAAAAAGAAAAAAAATCCATTACGTATAAGATTTCAAATCTCTGAACCAAGTGATGATTTCAAGAATGTTTTCAATTATGATGCAATGCTTCCGAGGAAAAATGAATTTTCCGAAATTAGATTTCCAGGTATTTGGGATAGAAAGCAAGCTATATTATATTCAAACTTAAGTAAGGGAGTTGAAAATGAGTTCATTGGTCATACAAGAACTTCACCACTTCCTAACCCTAAATACTATAAATTAACTGGCTTCAATCGTGAGTTTTGGATAGACATGTTCTCCACTCATGACCATAAAGCACCTGTTTTGCTACCTCTAGACCATAAGGACTGTCTCTACATTGAAGCACAACTCTTAAACTCTACCATCGCAGTATTGTAAATGACCACATGGGCTTATTTTTATCACGAATGACCTCATTGCTGACAAAAATAAATGACCTCAGAACTTCAACTTACGAATAAAGCTTGTTTTAGTCGTTATTGAGAAGTTAAACTTCTCTTCAAAGCAAGGTTGACATGACTTACATAAGTCAAATCCAATCTCTTGACCGTCATAAAGTGCTTTGTAAAGTTTCATTAAACTGAACTCAGAGTCTTTGTCATATGTTCCTTGCGGAACCATTAAACCTTTATCTTCATCATAGAAACACTGAACAGAGTCAGGAAACATTTCATTAGCGGTTAAAGCAATAACATCTTGCTTCACGCCTTTCATTCTGCAGTGAAATGCAACTTCATTTAAATCATTCGTGAGTAAGTCTATGTAAGTCTTCTTTCCACAAAATATTGACTTGTATGCTAAACTTTGTTTTCCAGGTGTGATTTCTGCAAAGTCGCTATGAAATTGACCAAGGTTTTTACCAATGAGAACTCTTCCATAACGTTTCTCAAACTCTTCAGCTAAACGAGGGATATCTTCATTGTAGAGATGCATACTGTCCGTATCGCTATAAAAGATGTCCATTCCTAAGTCCTCAGCAGTACAGAATACTTCACACATTATTCTCTTCGACATAGACAGAATGTTAACACCAAGTGGACAGAAGTTAAAGTGTCTGCAAATGCTTTTCGTTAGCTTGAAAATAGTTTTATCTGAACCATCCAAACCTTCGAACTTCACTATATGGTTGTAGTTTCTGATGGCATATCTTATAGCATCATTGTCATCTACTATGGTTATTTTTGACTCAATAGGAGATAGAATAGTTTTGCCATAAATACTGTTCAGAATGAGCTTTATATTTTCTTGCAAAGGATTTCCTTCTTTCTTATACTTTAACCTTAACTCAAACAACTTCTTTACTTCATCTCTTATTCTAATATCTCTGTTTCCATCATAATAGTATCCTTGCAACACTTCACATTTGACACCTTGATATTTTATGAGGTCTTGTAATGTTATATGGTCAACATACATTAAACAGCAAGTGTGAACTTCTGGGAACGTTAAGTTCTGGATTTAGTTCAGGGTCACAAACTATTAAAGGAAAGTGTCTATGTATTCCAATCTCTGTTATCTTAATGAGAACAAAGAAGCCAGACATAAACTTTTCACCAATGGGTTCCTTTTGGTCGTCATTGAATAAATGTCTCATGAGATACTCTGTGCTTAACATTTCTTCCTTCAATACTTTCGGTATACCTTCTAAAGTATAAAGTCTTGCTATAGCTGATGGATATAATGAAACAGCGTCGAAATCAGCAATGAGTTTCTTTTCGCTCTTTTGTTTAATGTTATCTGACAGCATACATCTTCCACCTTGAATACAGCGTGAAATAAATTCTCTTGGTTTATTTGAGAGGTCATATAAATTTCCATTCGGGAAGTACACTCTGTTCTCAAATAATTTGTTAGCAATTGAACAAATACTAACGTAGTCATAAACGTTTAAATCAAATTCTTTCAATATGTCATTGCGGAACTTAACAAAACCTTCTCTTAAAATTCTTACATCTTGTTTGCAATAAAATGTGCTATACTTTTCTAAGTCGAAGTGGTTCTCATCTATTCTGCAACCTTTGATGGAATCTATGTTTTTCATGAATGTATCTGCATCCCGGATAAACTTACATGCTTCAGAAATGACACCAGTTCTGTTGTCATTTGCTAACAAAGTACTGCTGTAGTAGTTGTATGGAAATACTTCTTTCGGTCCTGTTTGTAAGTTAAACATAGCAGGAAATAGTTTAAGCTTCTTATTTATAACACTGTAAGAGTCTTTTATAATAATTGCCCTTCCTTTATATAAGCCAGTTATTTGCATTGTTCGTGAACCTTTAATGATGGGAGTTCCTTTCACTTCTGTCATGTGTCTTAAGATGAAGTTTATATCATAACTGAGGTTATGGAAATATATTAAACTCTTGTCAGGAAGTCGTTCCAAAAATTCTGTTGCACAGTTCTGACCCCAAATGCTTTCACTCACTGAACCATCTTCACTGTCATAACAGATGTTAAAAGCTTTATGAAAGCCGTCTGTGCTACACTCAAAGTCAGCAAAGAAAACGTGCTCAGGAATGAACTTGCACTTATTTTTATTTACTTCTTTTGACTCGGCTTTCTTCTTCAGTTGTACACAATACTTTGGAGCATATGTCAAATCTTTAAATGGTGCAAGGTTCTGCTTATATAAGTCAGTCGTATATGTGAAAAGTTCTCCATAAGAAATAGGTTCGAAATATTTGCACTCCCACAATGTTTTCATAACATCCCATAACGGTGTTGTTCTATCATAACGAACTACATATTTATCTTCTCTCTTTGTATAAATCTTCATTTGTTTCTCAATGTTCATTCCACCACAAGCTTTGAGAATTTCTTTGTAATTTCTGACGAAATATGTTGTCATTGGTAATCTTTCGTTTAGCATGTAGTGGTCCTCAACAAGAAGCAAGTCAATAGTTCTAACAGTTTCACATTCTTTTGGTATGTATCTCTTTATTTCATTATGTCTTGAGTCATTGAAATAACCAATGGTAACATTAAATGCTATACCTGTTGCGTCAGAAATTTCTTGTACTTTACTTTGAGGAAAGTCTCTAACACGAATGACTTCTCTCATGTGGTCAATAGTCTCTCCATCTACTCCAGCCTGAATGCAAGCATAAACGAAACAATTGTCTTCTGTCATAAGTGCTGTAGTTCTTTTGTTCAATTCATTGAAAATTTGGTAGCGTTCAAGATTTATAGGTAATGTGCAAAGATACTTCCAGAACTGACCGCTTCTCTTCTTATAAAACTTCTTTTCACCATTATCTTTCCAAAAGCTTTCTATAAGTGCTGGGTTTCCTGTTTGCTTAAGAGCTTCCAAAATGGCTTTCTGGTCATTTGTCAGTGTGCTTTCATCTCTATATGGTCTCTTTTTTGGCTTTCCTTTCTTAACATCTGACATCGTTAAGCCTTCATATTCTGTTAAATCATACATCTTTATTTCAGTAAGATTCTTTATGTTTGTCAAGAAGAAGTCATAGTGCATTTCAACAATACCTGCAGCATTTGCTTCTATCTCTGATATAAAGTTCTCCTTCAAGAGCTGATGTAGTAATGTTCCAATATTATTGAGGTTTAACGTAGAACATTCATACTTTCCACCAAGTTTATAACATACCATCCATCTTTGTTGGGAGTTTATTTTAATCTTCTCTAAGAGTCTCATGAAAACCTTACCGAAATGTTTGTGTAAGTAGTCTCTGTTTGGTTCATCTAAAGCTTCGATGTTAAAGTCAATGAGTCTATTTTCTGACTTCACATTTCTCTTCCTATTCTCTTCATCTTTCTTTAACCATCTCTCACCTTCTTTTGGTTTGTCGTCAATGGAACGAATGACATCGTTAGCTTTGCGAACTTGTTCTATAGCACTTTTAAACATCTCTCTTCTCTGTTGTTTCAGTGTGTCGTCTCTTCTTCTTGTTTCACCAACGTTTGCATTTGTTATGTCAAACATTTCTCTTCTTACTTCATGAGGTACTGAACGTCTATGATATAAGTCAATAGCAATGTCATTTAAAGGAAATGCTCTTGCATGGACTTCGTCCTCGCCGCGTTGCGGCTTTATGAACTCATGAATTCTATCATAACTTATTGCACCATTATAGTCATTGAGGATGTCAGCGAGTGCTTTTTTGTTTGTTGCGTAATGTTTTGCTACTTCTATGTTAGCTTCTGTAAGAAGTTGTTTTATTTCCGAGTGTTCTAACTTAGACAACTTCCGATACATCTTTAGTAGGAAATAAAAAAATTTTTATGAAAAAATTAGATTAGATTTTTTAAAGTTATTTTTCAAAATAATTTAATATTTTTATTTTAATGAAACACATGCAAGATTGCAAGTTCTTTTCATACAATGCTCTCGCTACTGCCATCAAGAATGAGTTCAATAATGCTTCAAATGTTAATGTTATCTTTAACAAGAAGTTTGTGAAAGAATCTAAGTTTGGTCAGTATGTCAGACCATTAGCTATCGTCATTGACCGCAAACGTTATACTTCACAAGAGTTAGCAGTAGTTTTGAAACAAAAGAGTTTCTTCGTGAATGTCAAAGATACTCATTATACTGTCATAAAGAACTCTAACATTGACTTCTTCAGTATTGCTTTAAATCTTTCCGAACAGAAAGAATATAAGAAGGGTGAAACAAATGTGAAATATTATCCTTCATCTCTGAAGACAATAACGAACAAAGATGTTATACAGAAATTCTTACCAAAGGTTGAAGAAGCTTCTATTGACATTGACGAAGGAAGTGAAATGGTTGAAGAAATAGACCCTGAAGCTATTTAAGCAAAAATATATTTTTGAATAACTGATGGTGTCACCACGTCACCATGTCACCAGGTTAATTAACTTCTTTTAAAAATGATGACAACATGACATTTAGAGAACTAGCCCGGAAATGAATGTTATCGTTAATGTTATCGTTAATGTTATCGTTTATGTTATCGTTAATGTTATCGTTAATGCTTACAGTGTCGAACATAATTGACGTAGGATTCATGACTTCTTCGTAAATGAGTGTAAATATAGCACAAAAATATATTTTAGGTGAAGAGGTGAGATCTCACCCATTTTTTCACCTCTTTTTTCACCTCATTCTCTCTTCGTTAATGTTGTCGTGACTTCATCATTAATGTTGTCGTGACTTCATCATTAATGTTGTCGTGACTTCATTCTTCCTCTTTGAAGTTATCGAAATATTCTGTTATTTTTTCCTTCAGTAATGTTAAGTCTTCTTTGAATGTAAGTATTGTGCAACCTTTGATGTCATAGTGTGTTTGAGGAAGAGTATTTTTGACAATTTCCTTTATTTGCTCATTCGGTGTCATTGAAATCGGTAAGTTTTCACGATAGAACCAGTTTCTGTCAGATTTATATATTTTAGCTAAGTCATAAAAGCTCTTGTTGTTTCTTCTGACTAAATGCAACATAACCATATCTTTATCTTCTTCTTTCTCCAACTCTTCAATATAAATCATATACTTATAACTCTTTTCCTTTCCTTTGGTACTGAACGTGGTATTCTTTTCTGTATGCTTTTGTCTTTGGATTCAATGACTTCATCTTTTGCTTGAAGTTTCTTTTCCATCTCTCCACGTTCTGCTTTATATAGTTCATCTAACATCATGAAAATATAACAAGCATAACGAGGTGAAGCCCACATTGCTACAGCGTTTACTAAAAGTCTATGAACATAATAACCTTTCAAACCAGGTGCCAAATTCTTGCGATTTTCGTACGGAATCTCTTCTCTCGTTTTCCGAGGGAAGCAATCATATGAGAAAATTCTTCTAAAAGTTCTTTTGTCTGTTGGTTTTCAAACCAATGATATGCTTGCTTTGTAGAACGAAGAGCATTCATTATACTTTGCATTTGGTACATGTCATCTTTGACTGAACGAATGAGACGTAACTGTTTGTTATACTGTATGTACTCGTATTCTTCATTGATGGCTTCATGAACGATAGCAGTTGTTGTGTTCTCTGATGTTGACATTACTGTCTTACATACAAGATAAAAATTTTTGTTAGAAAAAAATTAGCGTTATTTTCTGACTTTCACAAAAGACCAAAAATAAACGCTTTACATGTATTTTTCAGCAACTTCGTCAAATAATTTTATAGCTTTATCTATCTCATCTACTTCAAACGTTTCTTTACCTTTCGTGGGAGCACCATACATTTTCTCAAAAACTTCAAGCAGTTCTGTTTCAGCAGCTCTCATATCATTAACGAACACAACCTTGACTCTATTGACTGTACTGTCATATCTTTGAGTTATATTATATGTCCTTCCTATCTTATATCTTTTTGTGTTGAAGTCCTTCGGTTTCTGAACGATGTAAAGTAAGCCTTCACTGCAACGTTCTGAGTCGAATGAACCATAAGTTATGAAGTTATATCCAACAACTGGGTCTAACCATAACAAAACTATTGGTATAAGACTTTTGTCTATAAGATATGCTCTTGTTCCATGAAATGCTACTGATATCATGAGCTCAGGATTTCTTGTCAAAATTTTCTGAGTAGAAGCAATTCTAACCCAGTCCTTTGTTTTCTTTCCAGAAGGTGTTATAATGTCTGACAAAGAATATTTGTTGTATTTCTTACAGTATCTTACGTTTAAATCACCAATTCTAACCACTTTGGTGTCATTGTCAATCTTTCTTACTGTTTCAAACTCAATGTTTGACATTACTGTCTTTACATACAAGATAAAAAAATAAATAAAAATAAAACTAACTTTATTTTTATCTTTTATGAAAATTCATGAAATTTGGTCATTTTTCAGCAAAAATAATGTTGAGGTGAAGAGGTGAGATCTCACCTGTTTTCTCACCTCTTTTTTCACAAGCGTTTTACATGAATTGTACGATGTATATTTGAAATCCTAAACAGTTTCGTAGCTTCTATTTCTTCTTTTAGTACATCGAATGTTTTAACGATACCGAAAGTTTCTTTATACTTCTTCTTGACGTCAGACAGAAGGAAATCTTCTGCAGTTGGATAGTTTTTGTTCAGAAATTCTAACATGTCCATTTTATTTTCTGCTGGTTTCTCTGCTTCTTTCTTTAAATCTGCATAGTCGTTTCTCATACGTTCTATCTCTTTGACTGAGTAGTTATATTTTCTTATTGCTGCTTTACATTTAGAACATTGCGGGTTCATTTTTGCGTTATACATTGAAATAAAACCAGCTAAAACAACCAAGGCGTCAATGGTTTTCTTTAACTCAAAAGCTGCTGGTTTTATCTGTTCATTCCATACTTTACCTCTTCTATCTTTATCTCTTATCTGCCATACACATTCTGCAATTAATGAAACAAAGTTGTCGTATGTCTTAAATTCTTCGGATTTGTAAAGGTCAGAAATATTTTTATAAACCATGTCGCAATCTTTGTCCATAACTTTATGGTTGCAATGATATCCTAGAAACTCATAGTTTACCTTTCGTATGAACTTCTTTATTTCTACTGAGTCAGTTGCTTTGACTTCAATTTCGTCAAATTCGGGAATGGTTAGTTTTTGTTGCTGAATTTCAGGTAGTTTAGGTAAATGGTCGATGAGGTCCTGCATGTCATAAAGATATTCTTCATTTTCTTCATCCTGTGCGGTACAGTCTAAATTACTTGTTAACAGTTCTTGCTTTATCTTCTGGATTTTTGTTTCGAAAGTATATGAAGAAGGAATGAAGTTTTTCATCTCTACCAACATTGACGTAGGATTCATGACTAGCAAGTTTGGTGCTGTAGTTGTGGCTTGAATTGTTGTTGTGCCGATTGTTGAAATCATATCTTTACATACAAAATAAAAAAATAAATAAAAATAAAACTAACGTTATTTTTCTATCTTAAGGAAATTCATGAAAATTCATGAGGGTGAGAAAACAGGTGAGAAAACGGGTGAGATCTCACCTCTTCACCTAAAATATATTTTTGGTGTAAATTTATGACAAAAATAAATGGTACCATTAATGATATCATGACTGTTCTCATTCATGTCTGATTTACATCTAATGAAAAAGTTTAGAAGAATTTTCTTATTCTTTCTGGCTTATTTTTGTCTTTCCAGTACTCCCGCTCTAATGGTCCCAGATGTGTTGACTTTGACTCTCTCAAGTTCTTAGATGGTATAACATCTTCAACGCCTCCTTCATATCTTACTTTATAAGTGTCATCGTTTATGTTATAGCCAAGTATTTCAATAACCACTCCTCGCTTTGCTTCGTCAATGGTTTCAGCAAGTTTGCCATTACTACTTTCAACTAATTTATGTCGAGGGTAAAACGCAATAGAGTCGTCAGCAGCTTTTATAAGATATCCATTACCTTGCGTAGAGTCTACGATATAATAGTTTCTACTTAACCTTAAACGTTTCTTTGTCAACGGTTTGTCGTCAAGAACTACACGAACTTTTGTACCAGGAATGAGGGTAAATTGTGTTGAATTTCTGATATTTTGTGTTTGGCTTCGTTTCTTTTGTATATACTTTTCTTCTTGTTGTTGTGTCATTGAATTTGGTGTATGTCCTGTTGTAGAATGTGTTGAGGAATTATATACTTCGAGAAAATGTTTCATTGTTTCTTCGGTAAAGTCTCGCTCTTGGTTTAAATCTCTGAGCGTTCTTATGAAGCGGTTTATGATGCCGAGTATGTTATGGTTATGGTCTTCAGTAGTGTAGTGAGTTATGTTATGCTTAATGAGAAAATCTGTGATTTCATTGCTGAGGTATGCACTGTCTTGGTCTGATGTTAAAGTACTTGGGCTATGTTCTGCTACAAACTTTTGTAAAACTCTTAACACTTCACGAGTTCCTTTATTTCATTGGATATGCATATGCTTTACGAGTGTTAACATTAATGAAGATGAGGAATGGTTTATGTCCTCCTTTTCTGCTTTGAATGAGAGTGTCAAATTGGTATGCGTCAGGAGTGTTGGAGTAAATTGGTAAAAAGTAGTCGTAAGGGTTTATTTTTGTTTGATGTACAACATTTTTGTCAAAGAACCTTTTCACTTCAGCTCTGTTAGTAAATCCCCAACTCTTTGCAGCTTCATTGAACTTCTTAAATGACCTCCATGGATGTTGTTCGAATACTTCTTTCAAGCTCATTTATGTAAAGTTAAATTTAGTAATTTCATGCTGTTCGCTCTTTTGGAGCTCAGGACTTTCAGGCCGTTCTAACCCATGCATAAACCGTCATATAAGGTGGCATATAGTCTGCTCCACTTCCTGTTGGATTTGTTGTGAAAGTATGGACATGATTTCCTCCTGGTTCAGTTTGTCGAAAAGTCTTTTTTGCTGAATTGTTATAAGATGGAGATAAAACATCATTGCCAGCTTTATATTCTGAGTTGTATAATGGGTGGTCTCGTAATGAGTGGCTATGGTCGCCAGAAAAGTTTGTCGTTCCTGTATGAGTGTGCGCAGGTAAGTTTGCTTCAGTAATTTTCTTCGAACCCCCTGTTTGCTTTGAAGAGTTAGCACAGTATAAGAATTTGTCTACAATCTGTTCCCAAGTACCAAAACCTAAAACTGTTTCTGGATTTGTTGAATTCATTGACGTATAAATAGAACCAACAGAATATATGGTTTGAAGAATCTGGGCCTTCATTGTTAGAAGTTCATGTTTAACGTTTATAGCTTTATTGCCTTCTACAATATTTATATTGTTTGTTATTAAACCATTAGGAAAAGTAGGAGGATAAATTCTTTGTTCTTGTACAGTTGCACCGTTTCTTCCTGTTTTTGTTACTATTTCGATGCATGCTTTAATTTCTTTAATCTTGATTGTTTGAAATTCTTCATGTGTATGGTTCTTGTCGGCTTTTCCATTAAGCGCAGCATTTACTTCCGACTTCTTTGTATAATTTTCATCTACATAAGTTTTGTCTGCTTTCTTATCTAACATTGCTGGTAGTTCGTATGCTTCAAAGTTTCTGGCATGACCTTCAATGTTCATACATCTGTTATCTAAATTGTTTAGTGTATCTTTTACGCTTGTACTTGGATTCTCTAAAGGTGCACTTGAACCAAGGGTATAGTTCAATATTATGTCGTCTGCTCTAACAGTAGTGAAGGATTCATGTGTATGGTTCTTGTCGGCTTTACTGTCTAATGTAGCTTGAAGTTCATTTATATCGGAGATGTTGTGTTTATGAGATTTCAAAACTTTGTTCATTGCTTCGAGTTCAACTTTGTCAGCTTTACTTTTAATAGCATCTTCAAACGTTATTTTTGACTTAACTCTCAAAGTAAATCTTGGTTCAACTAATACACCGTTAACATTGAAAGTAGAGGCATAAATTTCACCGGTATAACCAAATGCTTCTGGTGCTTTAGCTACATCATACTGTACAGTACAGCTTATGTCATAACCTTTAGCACGAATGTATTTATATCTTCTTTCATTAACATCTTCAGTGCTTATTTGTTCATCCTGTGTTAAATATCCATGGTAGTCCGTTATAATATGTTCGTCTGAAGTTATATAATGAACATGGTTCTTGACTTTATCACTCAGAGCTAAAAGCTCATTTTTGTCTGCTTTTTCGGCTAATTTCTCATTAACATCATTCACTTCTAATTCAACTCTTCCGCCAGAACTCTTATTATCATTAATCTTTTTCATTAATTCGGTAATTACGTCATAAAGACTATATTCTGTTTTCGGTTTTGTAAATAATGAGTCAAAATTTCTTTTCATCATTACATCGCTGACATTAATGATATCACCAATTCCTTTTTCATTTATTCTCTTCATTAATTCTGCAATAATGACGAATATATAATCTGTTAATTTATTCTCTTCATCGAGGGTTATAGAATGTTTTGAAATTGAATCATTAACTCCTCTAAATAAATCAATAACTTCAGGATACACGTTTTTAATGTCTCGAATAACCCGACCAGTATCCTGTTGTTCATGTTCTTCGTTCCCGTCGTTACGTGGTTTTATATCTCTAACCATCATCAACGCAGCCATAACCGGAGGGTTTGTTGCTATCTGTTCGAAAATCCGTCCGTTATGTACGGTATATCTAAATAATTTCTTTGTGTTTGTTAAAACATTTGAAACAAGTCTTTTAAAACCATCTACAAAATTTCCTGTTTCACCTAATGTTCTTGCAGCATTTACAAGCTCACCCATTCCCGCTTTTGACCCCAAAAACGTCCATATTGCATTTATTTCACTCTGTATAGTTGTCCATTCAGCAAAATAACACCCGCATTCGCTAAGCTGAAAATGAAATTCAGTGGATCGAACTTAATTCCACCTTCTTTTTCAATTTCAACGAACTCACTAACATGAGATTTTAAATATTCTTTCGTTAAAATTGTTTTCCCCGATGTTATGTCATTAACGAAACTATCACCGTCAAAAGTTAACGAATTCAATTTCGTCGTTGATGCTTTTATTTCATACACCGCTTTATCGATAGTTTTTGGCTCACCTTCTTTAGAAGCATATGAAACATTAATGAATGAATTATATGTATTCGTGAATGAGTTAAAATCAATGATTTTCATTAATGACGCCTTTAATGATTCATTTACTGTCGAATCCCTTAAAGTAATTAATGAACTGTCATTTATGAAAGGTACACTGCAAACCGTCGAGTTTGGATCAAATGCTGTAGTTGGTGCAGGAATATTAATGATATAAGTCATTAAATCATTAAGTGACGTAAATAATGTTGTCGTTTTTGATTTAATTTCTTTAGCATCTGTTATATATGGTAATTTTATTTCTGTAGTTTCTGAATTAAAGATATTCGCTAAAATGTTTTGTAAACTGTTTTGAACAGCTGTGTAAACCGTTGAATCCGGAACTCTTACGATTTCACCGTCCTTAATAAAAGGCATTGCACATGGTGTAGTGCTTGGGTCAAATCTTTTTGGGTTATGATTCAACATATATTCTAATGCTTCATAAACAGACCTATATACGGTTGTATTATCTTTTTCAATAATTTCACCGTCCTTTATAAATGGCATAGTACATGGAGTTAAAATAGGGTCAAACTTTTCATAGTCCTTCCATGTTATGTATTTCTCAGTATTTCCATCAGTGATAACAATATATTTGTCAGTAAGTGTGAGAGAGTATTGACCAAAATATAAACGTTTAGCTCTGTCAGCTTCATACGCATATGCAGCTATACTCATATTTTAATGAGAATAAAATGTTGTTCTATTTGCAAAGTACAGACCCAAACGAATACGGGACAGTAAAGCTACAAACAAACTTAGGTCTACAGAATGAGGCGCTTGCATTCAGAATGGTTGACTTCAATACTATCGCTTCATTCGTTATAACAGATGAAACAGATTTCATGGAGATTGAAATAGATGGAAAGAAGCACGAAATAAGATTTCACAATAATGTAGAATATAAGATGGAAACATTAGCTGGAGTGTTAAATGCTCTCATAAATACTACAATAAACAAGGATAACGAAGAAAACTTAATGAATGTTAAACTTATTGCAGGAGTTTTGAAGTTCAGTTATGCGAAGGAGTTTAAGATACAAGAATGAGTCATAGAGTACAACTTCTTTTGGGTGCATACCATATGACATTTCCTTTGAAAAGTGTTGACAAAACGATTGAGATGAAATCTGTTCCATACGTATGTTATGGTAATTGTTTATACATTGAGTCTAAAATAGCTAATGTCACAGGCATTTCAGGAGTTAATAGTAAAGGTTCAGTAGAATATAAATCCTTCTGTTATGCAGTCAATTCAATGTTCATTCCAAACGTTCCTGTCATAGCAACTCATTTAGGTAAATGGGTTCGCATTAGTCCTCATAATTTGAAAGACATGCAATTCAGACTTGTTGACTTTCAAGGAGAGCCTGTAGAACTGAAGGCACCAGTGCGAATGACTGTTGAAGTTGACTTTTTAGAAAATATTAAATGCAACAGCTTACAAGAGAACTCAGAGCTAAAAATATAAAGTATGAATGTTATGTATTAGGTCATGAACTTTGGTTGTTGCTGTTTGATGAAACAAATGAATTAGTTATGTCAGTCAAGAGAACAGAAAAATATTGTGTTAGTGAAAACTGCACCAAGTCAATAAGATTAGGTTTGCATTATGAAGATGAGTTCGATACTGTTGAAGAAGTTTTGGATAGATATTACAAATTGCTTTAATTTACTAAAACATATTTCAAGCAAAGTTTATATTCTGTTGAAAGTTTTGTATACTCGTTCGAATATTTATACTTAAACTCAACTCCTGTAGTTCCTGGTGTTTCAATGATGCGGATGTTACCTATTTTCATGAATGGTGGAGTTTGACCACAGCATTCGATTTCAGGGTCGAGATAGTCAATGACACATTGTTTCCCTGTTATTCGTGAGATAACATTTTCAAGGTCCTCCTTTGTTAGAATTATTTGGTTCTTGCTTATAAGATTTGTCAAAAGCTTCTTATCGTCTTTGAGTAAAATTGTTTGGTATAACTGAAGAAGGTAATGGTCTACGTTATCTGAAGGATTTGTTTGAACATTTGTGTAAGGGTTGTCGTTGGCTTCTCTTGAAAGAATTTGGTCCAGTGGTGGATACTCTAACTTAACATCTGATGTAGCGTTAGCGTTTGAAGCTGAGTTTAAATTCACCGATTAAGTTCTGGTTCTTTTTCTTTCAAACACTCTGAACTATAGTTCTTTATGACAATATTGTTTGTCGTTCGTGAGTCAACATTTGATGTTGGTTCAATTGGAACATTAACGGCACCAGCTAAGATGGATTTGCTTCTCATTTCATATAGAATAAAAACCTTTTATATGTATGAAATGAACAATATACTCGACAAGGGTTTGAATGTAAAGCTAACGAATGAAAATATTGTTGAATTCACTTGAGACAGGGCTGTGTATAAAGATGTAGAACTACTGAACAAAAGAGCTAAGGGAAGAAGCAGGAACATGAACAAAGGGTGGAAGCCTATAAAATTTATGTCAATGATGGCTCAGGAGGTTCAAACATAAAGTATGCAGAAAGTTATAGAGTTTATGCTCTCAAAGGTGAAAAGCCTTCATTTAAGAACAGCTATTCTAACGCATATCCTCAAAGCTAACGGATGGGAAGTGGATGATATGAATGACAGCAAAATATTAACAGAAATGGCGACAGAGATGCATGGAATTTGTTTACCATCAGTCAATTGAAGGTTAAACTTTAAAACATGTTGGTCGTTCCCATGGAATATTTTTGACTTTAATGGTATTAGTCATGATATGATCTCAAGGTATGAACGAGGAGAGATGAGAGACTTATATGCTTCCCAAATTTCTTCAAAAGGTAATGTTATACCTGACTGTTTCCAAATGAGTTCAATATCATAGTGAGAACCTTGAAAGATAACGAAGTCAGTTATGAGACGTTTTATGTTTAAAGCTAAAAACCTCCATGTTTGCATAAGTATTGCTACAGTTAAATGGTAATGTCTGACTTTAGTAATGATGTTAGCTAATGGTGAGTCTGGTTTGAACACTAAACCTTTACCAGCGATATCAAACAAGAGCAAGTGTTTGAAGGATACTTTTTTGAAGGGGTATTTTGAAAGTTTTGAAGAATGTAGTTTGTAAGTCGTTTCATATCGTAAACTCCTGAGTATTGACGTAAGTGGTGTTTGTCAATAATTCTTTCCATCTCCTCAGAAGTCTTTTGCATTCCTGACTGTATAAATTCAACGATGGCATAATATTTCCTCTTACGTCGAATGTAACGTTGAAGAAATTCAATGAGTTCACTGTCTGGAACTTTAACGACAGAGGCTTGAACTTTTGACATAAATGTTTTCGCTGTTGAGTCCATAGAGTCTGAAGTTGCTGATATAATGATTTGGTCATAATATGAGTCATTTCCTAAACGTTCTGTTATGAGTATATGACGAATGAGGTTAAATGTCTTACCTGAACCCATCTTTCCACAATAGAAATACACACCATTTGAACAGAACTCATAGTCCTTACTGAAAGGAAGAATAGAGAAGAGTTAAGTTTGTCTGTAGTTTCATTCATGTCTTCATCTACGTCATGTATTAAATGCTTCATTTTATCTCCATTAAAAATGCAAGTCAGAAATATTCAGAACATAGCACCGAGTCTAACTGACAAGAGTATAAAGATATACTATGAACATGTTATGATGAAACCTACCAAAATTCAAGAAAGTCAGTATACTTATGAATATCCAAGACACTGGGTAGAGTATGTAGGAGGTGAGAAAGCTATTGAAATCAGACAGGTTCGAAGTATTCCAGCAGGAAGAACAATATTATTGAAGAACTTTAATGTTTTGAGATATAATGATGAAACAAAGAAGCAAGATAGTTTCCCTGTTGCTGTGTATGTGAACTTAGATACAGGAGATGACATGAAAGTTTTTAATACAAAGCTTCAAACGGTAGTGAGAGAACAACTGACTGCGGAAGGACATCCATTACCTTCAGAAGTTACCATAGCATATAATTTTGAAACAAACTCAATAGATTTTAAAGTCATCTCTGCAAAGAAGTCAGGTTTTACATTTAATGAAGCAGATGTATATTCGAATGAAAACTTCAAAGCTATTGCATGGTTAGATAATGACGATTGCTTTAAGAAAATATTTAAATACAGTGACTCAACGATGTCAATAGATGACCTTCGTGGAATGTTACCATCGACGTTTACAGTAGAAGGTTCAGCAGGATTGCTTACAAGATTGTCAATTGGTGGTATTTGGTCTCGTGAGAACATTGTTATAAAATCCAGTATAAGTGAATTTGCTGAAGAATCTATATTATGTCTTTCAAACTACATGTATTCGCCGCCGAAGCATTATAGTATAACAAACTTTGTCAGTAAGTTTAACATAAGACTTGTCGAACCTTCTTCAATGAAAGATGTTGTGCTACCTAAAGATGGAAAGGATGGACTCATTATTGAGATGATTTTAATAGCATATTAAATGAGCTTGTTCTTGAAGGTCATTCATGATGAAATAACTGTTGTAGAAGATGTTAGCAATTGTTCAGACATTTTGAAGCGTATAGATGAGATAAGAAAGAAGTTAGATAGACCGCAAAGCGGTGAGGGCGAAGCCCGTGAGAACGCTTATGTTTCATTGACTTTCTCCAGTAACGAGAACTTT